GTCATTTCGGGACTAACACATGGTTCAATTTCGTTTCAATAATTCGCTTGCTCGTAGGGGTCTTTAGCAGTGGGAGGAAACCGGAGGACCCGTAGAAAACCAACGAGGTTGGCGACCCTGATCCTTGTCATGTACAACCGGGGAATCGAAACCACGCCAGTTGACTCAATGACAGACCTTATGATACAGCGCGCACGTGCTAACCATTCGGCCATCCACCCACACCAAACACACACACACACACACACACTCCGTTAATAATGGACGAGTACTGACTATTTGCCAGTTATTAGATCTAAGACATCGTATGCAACTTAATACGGACTGTTCTGTTATGTAACAAAGATTCTACATTGACATGTGTGCACGAAGACGCAGGTTCAACAATGCTTTTTCATATAGCTGCGACAAACCTGTCCAAACGTAATATTGTCCGTTCCATAGTTACAGATGTTTTGATCATTCTACTTGGAAATACCTTGTGTCGGAAATGTGTGGATGGAGGTTGGAATCCAGTCGCAAAAGAATTGATATATTGAGACAATTAGGACCACCATTATGCAGTGCTTTGTCAGTTTTTCACTGCTTAACTGGCTGTGACTATACAGCTGATTTCTTCAGAATGGGAAAGATTCGCCCATTAAAAGTTCTTGAGGGCAATTCAGAGTTCCAAGAATAATTTTCCAACTTTGGATGCCACCAAGATATGAATTACGAAGATACACCTGCAATAGAAAAGTTTGTTTGTCGCACATATAGATTATGTCATTTAACAAGTGCAACAGATATAGTAAGTTCTTAAAGGTTTATAAACCAAACAGAACCTACTCACAGACATTTGGCACAAATTTGAATCATATTTCAGTTTGTAGATTTAACTTTTAAGGCATAACAAAATGTGTATTCACCTTGCCGGTGTGGTGGGTTGTGATATTTGAGTAGTCAGATTATGAATATGCTCCACTTATACCATTCAGATTTGATATTTTTTTAGAACCGACTAATGCACAGCTAATATTTGCCACCAGTTTCAGTAATATTACTTATGAGGCAAAATTTGACCCCTTTTTGGGCGTTGCAGATGAGGCACATTTAAGTGGTCAGATTAGGGGTTTGCCCCACTGAAACCAATCAGATTTGATAGTTTTAGAACCGTCTGATAATTAGCTAACATTTGGCACCAATTTCAGTCTTATTACTTATGAGGCATTTTTGGGTCCCCGCCCACATTTTTTTTAGGGCAGTCAGAAAGGGGTGTGGCCCATTTTTTCCGTCAGATTTTGCATTTTAAGATTCAGATATAGCACAACAACATTTCAAAACTATTTCTGATCGTATTACTTATGATACAAATTTTGATCTTTTTTGTGGGCGTGGCAGATCGGGCAGATTTTAAGTGGTCAGATTAGGGATGTGCCCCACTGAAACCAGTCAGATTTGATATTTTTAGAATCGGCTCGTGCATAGCTAACATTTGGCACCGATTTCAATTAGATTACTTATGAGGCAGTTTATATGCATACATTGTATGGCAATATTTTAGAAAAAATTCTGATCCTACTACTTATGAGTCAAATTTTAGCCCTTTTTATCTGCCCCTCCCAGCCAAATGTCCCACTGATACGTAAGATTGGTTGTTTTGAATTTGTCCTATCAATAGCTGCCAATTAATATGGTCAAACCCTCTATTACTTCTGAGGCAGTTTTTTCGTCACTGGCTCTTGGTCTAATTTGTTTTAGCGTATATAGACGCATTTGTTTTAGTGTCTACAGATGAGTGTCTATTGAAGTATTTAATTTAGTGTATTTGCATATACATGCATTTGTCTTTGTGTCTAGAGATTCATTTTTGTTCGTGCATGTTTGTCCATAAAATCATTAACTGTTATTGGTATAATTTATAATGTATCGGTTTATTAATTGTATTATATTAATGATTTTCATTTAAATGTAGTTCAAGGTCACTGTACTGTTTAAAACTAACTAGTTTTACAAACTGATCATTGATATGAACCTCTCCTGGCATTGTCTCTAAGTTCCTCTTCTTTAACATGTATTTCACAATATTTTTCTAGTTCAGTGTATAAATGAAATACTTCATGACATAGTTGCATTCATGAACAAATTACTCAGTTTTCTCCTTTTTAATATGTCCATAATAATTTTCATCTATATCAGTATAACACACAGAAGTTTTTCATCTTTTACATGTATTTTATTATTTTTTTTTAGATCACTATATTGTTGATAATTCTTGTTATACTTGACACACTAATAATCAATTTCCTGAAATAAAATTAAAAGTCAGTCTTCCATTCGAATCATTAGATTTATCATTACGGTGATCTTAATATTTATAATGACAAAGAGTCCAATATGTTACAATTGTCTCATAAAAATTTAGAAGGGGGGTTGACAGAAATGAAATGAAATGGGGTTTAACGTCCTACTGTTCTGCTCCTATGCTGGGCTAATGAAGACGGGCATCCGCCATACAGTGTGCTTTCGCCTACTCTTATATCGAATTCCAACTGCCAAGGGATCTTTTACGTGCATTCGAATGATCTCAATATTTTTCAAAGGTTGTTTACATGTTTACCGCGTTAGGGAACCCGATTCGCAACTAGAATGCTGCTGGTTCGAATCCCGGCGTTGGAAGAGAAGAACCCCAGGAATTTGTCAACTGTTATTTATATCCGGTACGTCACTGACATTTTACAGGATATCGTGTCAGCTAACAAATATAATTTTCGCCGATTAGGAAAAGGTTGTGAACTCGAGTGTTCCAAAACGAGTAAGGATTACTTGCCTTGTACACGTCATCCGACAATATTTAGAACAAACTAAAAGTGACAATATGGGCTTGGATTTCATAAGATGGGGATAACACATAGATGTCTAAAATACAGAATGAAATAGAAGTTATGCAGCATCAACAACGAAAGAGTCCGACTTGAAATTGCCATGAACATGTAGCATAGCTGAAGGCATTATTCAGTCAAATTGTTTCTTCTTCTGACTTTATGCAAGAGCTACATCTGCCTATTGCAGGTCTTTCTTTAAGCCTGAAATGTTATCTAAATTATTAGACATTAATTAATTTATCCAGACTATAATCAACTCTCGATGTCATCGAAAGCATGTGATATTTACTGCATTAGGATCTGATCTGTTGCTCAACTCTCATTCATGATTAAATCAACAAATGGATAATCGAGACTATGTATTTTATCGTACCGACTTTAGTAACGATGATCGAGGCTAGGCCCAAAATTCAATCGCTAAATTCTCGGTTCAGAGTGAATCAATTACTTGACTGAAGTTTTCAGCAAATTCCCCTTACATTATCTAGTTTTTAACTATTATAGTGAGAACTGTCAGCTCTTTATCTAATCTCCCATAATGTATCTTTAACAGACAAGAGAAGGGAAATGGTACTACTAAGAATATCAAGGAAAACAATTTGGGGCAAGTGAACCTATCTGACTTCGAGTTGCCCCCTTGTGTCCGTGGGTGACTAGACTACTCATTTTTGGAGGGATTTTAGTGAGTTTTAGCATTTACTGACCACTCCTGAAAAATGTCAGTTCGTGGATTTTCGAGTCTATGGTGTTTTTGAATACGATATAATGTTTGAAATTTACTATCGTTTTTAATATAAAGATGACAATAAAATAATCAGTCCTTCTGCAGTTACAATTGAAGAAATATTTTGAAACAAAAACTATTACCAGATAGTCATATTATTATTTCCATCATTGTTCTCTTCGGTCTAAAATGTATAGCATCACATTCGGAACAGTTCCTGGTTTTCTGATCTAGATAAAGCTCGTGACAAAGTCTACATGTGTTGAAGCTGGTACCTTTATGATACTATAATATATTCAAAATGGCTTATTTCTTGATTTTGAAACCATATTTATTGCGATTCGTTCAATTCTAGCCCCTCTGCAAGTTCTTTTCTTTCTTCAGTTAAATATCTGTTTTCCCCAAATTTGCGTTGAAGTTCAGACAGTTGTTTGGCGCTAAAAGCTGTTCGTGGTCTTCTCATTCTTCCGAATATCTTTGTTCTGGATCCTGGAATATTTTAAATTGCTAAATGTTGATATTCAGTAGGCGTATATCCACTTCTGTATGTTAATGTGTAATTATAGCCCAAGTCGCTCCAAATAAGGATTGAACTCAGAATTTACCAAGCGGTGAGTCAAGGTGGGTAACGATCAGCTGGATCCTTAAACAGGCCGTCACCGGTTTGATCCCGGTAATTCCCAGCGTGGTAATGGATTGGAAGAAAAATCCAAGGTCCTGTGTACACGTTGGCGTACACGTAAAAGAGCTCTTGACAGATGGAATTCAATTGCTGTCCGGGCAAAATTTCCAACAAAGCACATTCTACACACAACAGTTGAAAACCCCGCCTTTAACAATCTCTGTACACACCCTATTACATATAAAGGCCTATATTTGTACGTATAATGTTTTATGCCCTTTTTATCAAAACTATCCTATTTTGAGACAAGAAAAATGGCAAGAACTATATAATAGTCCTTCCGGGCCCGTAGCCAGCTCTTAAAATTTGGTGGGGCTTTGGAATTTTTTGGAGGGGCTGAGGATGTGTACGGCTAAGAACGCCCATAAGAAATCATTATTGTTGGCAAAATATTGGGGGGGGGGGGCTATGTGAAATATATTTAAAATTATTATGTTTTATATTCCTTGTATGAGGAGAGGGGTGATTGACTATGCCTGTTCCCCAATCCTTTTCATCTATTTGAAATAAAATATTGTTTCCCCCCAAAAAGTGTTTAGTGTTGATTGATATAAAGTGAGGTCACAAACCCCAAACTATCACCGACAGTTTTCATTGTTTTAACCAGCCACAGATTACAGATCACTTTTTGTGAAGAAAGTAGTATCATGATTCTTTTATCCAGACGCACTGTGGAAGAGATATACACTGTAAGCGTCTGGGTAACCGAGAGACCAAAGCACGTGAATAATTTTATTGCGTTGTGTCACTGGGCAACTCACAAACGGACAATTCAATTTTAAATTAGCTGACGAAGAGAAGGGAGCTTGTTCTCTTTAGGTAGGTAGGAATAGATTTTTGATTAAATATGTATTGTTGTGGCCTATATGTGACTTTTCTAAATTTTTGATTTTCTATTTTGTTGTACCTGTATTTCAAAGTTGTGTTCGTATTTTAAAAAAAAAAAAAAAAAAATAAAATCACATAAGGACTTTGAAGTAAAACCTCTAGGACAACATAAATTGTGTCGGCGGTATCTCACGGAGAAAAAAATCAAAATCAACAATGTTTATCAGTAAACATACGTACCTGATTTAGCACCACAGATAAGAAAGAAAATCACAAATTTTGAAAACCCGGATAACAGACAGAAAATATTTGTTTTTAAAAAATCAAACACCCGCGTTCTTGTCACCATGCACCAATAGGAAAGAAAAGTAATAGACTCTCTGTTTCATGGCTTGAAACAAAATGTGTGAAGGCGCATCCCGTTGTATCGCCCCATCAAATTCTCTACATAGTAAACAGACAGTATAATAAGTGACTGATCGGGTTTGATCTTTTGTTTTTAATAGACAATGTCAAATTCAACCAATTTTTCATTCTAGTCTCGAGAATAATCTCATTCCATGGTAATGGAGATTGGAAGTAGGCAAAATCTAGTATAATAAGTCACAGGTGAGCTTTTCTAGTGTTTGAGTATATATTTAAACGTCCTTTTTTATACGCCCACATTTTCATTTTATGTCGTTGCCCCTGTCCGTTATTGTTTGTGATCGACACTCTACAGGTCACAATTTTTATCTGATTTTGCCGAAACTCGAAATATAGGTCTATCTCTTGCAGTTCTCGGGTCCTTTCGATATTGGCAAGTATCAGACCATAACTTCATGGATTATGGCCCCTGATTGTACCAAAAATCACGCTTTTAGCTTGTGGAGGTCACTTTAACTTTCACCCGATTTTGATGAAACTTGAAATGCATGTTTATAACCCAATGATCATGGTTCCTTTCGATATTCGTGCATATTGGATTGTAAATTTCTGAATTATGTCCCCGATTGTACGAAAAATCGCGTTTTTTGCTTGTTGTTCCTGTAGAGGTCATAATGTTTATCTGATTTAAAAATACATCACCATTACACACTAAGATCTTGGTTCCTTTTGATAATCGCGGATACCGAACTTAACTTATGGCCCCTGATTGTTCGAAAAATCACATTTTCATCTTGCGGATTCTTGATAGTCACAGTTTTTTTTCCAATTTTAAAAACCGTTTAAATACATCACCATTCCACCATAATGAAGGTTGAATTCGAATTTCGAAATGAAACTGCCCGACAACATGGCCGCTCTTTGTACGCAAATTATGTAGAATTTTGTAATACGAAGGTGTGGACCCTCTAGAGATCACATTTCTTATCCAATTTTGATGAAACTTAAAACATAATCTTTATATCCGAAAGATCTGTCCCTTTTGATATTTGCACATTTCAGGCCATAACTTTCTGGATTATTGCCCCTGATTGTACAAAAAAATCATGTTTGTTTTTAGCTTGTTCTCAATCCATCTCTTGCAAAATGTGGGCGTATCCTGCCTGGCATCTGCTGATTCACACTTAGAGGAGCGCTGTTCACGTGTTATATTCATTTCAAGCCGATAAAGTATTTCATATCAAAAAAAATATAGTCAAGATCAATAAGATAAACCACAGAAAAACGTGCACATATTTACAAGAGAGTTGCATACAAAATTATTCTGTTCTTAATTTCAGCATGGGCCATGATTTCAAGTTACCTCATTCAGCCATTGCTGAAAGATGTTTTTATTTAAACAAGTTGTTTGATGTGTGAATGATAGAGGTCCATGTACGTTGTATATTTATCTTATTCTGGACTGTCCTTATAAATGAATAAATGATTCTTTTGAAAAATGAATTGATGTCCGGTCAATATATATTTTTCTTGGATTAGAACCAATATATATGTTTGTAGTAATGAAGTCAGAGTCATTATGTTAATGCCAGTAGGGCAGGGTAAGTTGGCGCCAGATATATTTTGTTTGTATGTTTAAAGTATAAATTTGTTAAATAAAAATATTTCTGAAAAACTTCATGCGATATTTCATATGGGCGAGTTTACAAAAAATTAAATATTTTTGTTCTTTTGTATTAACAGATCAATGACAGAGATATGATTGGGTATATATAGGTCGTAGAGATGATGACCATATTGCTGGGTGAAGATGATGGGACAGTTTTATATCATGGATCAGGTAATCTTAAAAGGCAAGTCCTGATTGATTTTATCACCAACGCCAGAAATATCTAAACCAGTCCATGGTTTATAATATTCCTTATTATTTAGTAATTAAAAAGGTGAATATTATTCTTTTAAAAAAGCGCTGCCGTTCTCAACAGGTCTTATGTGTGGTTGGAAACTGTTTGGATGCCATTGTTGCAGGCTGGTTGCTACCCCCACTGTTTGCTATTAATCCTCTAATAAATACTAACATTTCCAAATGTAAATTTCAGCATTATTCTGGTCAAGTACATGTAATTTTGATTTTTTTTGTACCGGTATCTTTTCAGGTGTATGATGGTTCAACCTATTTGCAACCTGGGTTGGAAAATGATAGATTGGCAATAACAAGGTTAGTTTTTAAATCAATAACTGAGTTCGAATTTCGTGAAAATCGGCCCAAAATTGACAGACAAAATGGCTGCCGTTCGTTCAGTTCCTTTCGATATATGCGCATATCGAATTGTAATTTCCTGAATTATGGCCCTTGATTGTAGGAAAAATCACTTTCTTGTTAGCTTGTTCTCTATCCATCTCTCGAAAATGTGGGCGTATCCTGCCTGGCAGCCGCTTGTTTAATATTTTGATAGATTTTAATTGCAGTTATTGAATCATGGTAGTATAATGTCAGATATTGTAAACTTTATTATTTTAACAATGTATTATGAATAGATGACCAAATCTTCTTCTTACCAATACGCAAGGCCTTTTTGCTTTAAGTTAAACCGAATAACTCATTCAGTATTGTTTATCAATTTAATATTTGGGAAATTCATAAAATTCTTTCGGCGCCTTTACTTTAAAAACCCAAAGGCCCTTTGTTGACTACATTACGTGTACTAAATAAGGACGAAAGATGCACGTGTCGTTTTTTTACCTAAATAAATACTACCAATTAAAACGCAATAATTAATAAAGGTAATTCAATGTAAAACATTGGTGTCATGCATCGGTCAGCAGTCATCATCATATATTTGTAAATTTATATACAAATGAAGACATGTTGCAAACAACTACTACTGCCAATCCGCAGCTAAATACAAATATGTATATAAGGGAATGAGTTGTAAAAAAATAGAAATCTGCTGAAATCTACACTGAAATGCCATCACATTGTCAATTTTTTAACAATAATTTAAACATACATTATGCTAGAGCTAAATCTGCCTATTACATGTCTTTCTTTAGGCTTGAAATGTTATATAAATTATCAGTTAGACATTAATTAACTTATCCAAACCATAATTAACACTGGATGTCATCTTCACTGGATTGAAATCCAATCTGCTGCTTAATGCTCATTGATGATTAATCCAAAAAATGGATAATTGAGACTATGTTTTTTATTGTACCTACTTTAATAATGATGATCAGGGCTAGGCTTAAAATTCAAAAGCTGTAATCCTGGTTCGTAGTCAGGGGCGGATTGGGGCCGGGAACCTGCTCGGGCTCCGGTGTCGGAGCAGCCCCTTTTACTGACCGCGGAGCCCGGGGGGGGGGGGGGGTCCGGGGGCTCTCCCCCTGGAAAATTTTGAACAATGAACCCCAAATATGCGATTTGATGGCATATCTGATTATAATCTTTCAAATTCAGCCAGCAGACCAGCTATCATCAAATTTTGCTGAGGCCTTAAAATTGAATTTTTGGAGGAGGTACGAACCGTCGGCAGACGTTTCTGGCGTATCCCCACAAAACAGGGCGCAGGTGTAGTGGCTGCGCCAGCCGTCAGTGATTGGAGGGGCAAAGCTGGGGAAAAGTCCAAGGTTAAGGGGAAAAGGCACGAGCTTCAACTAGGGGTAGGGGGGCACCCCCAGAAAATTTTGAAAAACAGCTTGCCGAAAAAGCAGCCTGATAGTATTTCAGGCACTGATCGATGAGGTAAAGTGTCAAACGAACGGACTAGCCCTGATCATCATTATTAAAGTAGGTACAATAAAAAACATAGTCTCAATTATCCATTTTTTGGATTAATCATCAATGAGCATTAAGCAGCAGATTGGATTTCAATCCAGTGAAGATGACATCCAGTGTTAATTATGGTTTGGATAAGTTAATTAATGTCTAACTGATAATTTATATAACATTTCAAGCCTAAAGAAAGACATGTAATAGGCAGATTTAGCTCTAGCATAATGTATGTTAAAATTATTGTTAAAAAATTGACAATGTGATGGCATTTCAGTGTAGATTTCAGCAGATTTCTATTTTTTTACAACTCATTCCCTTATATACATATTTGTATTTAGCTGCGGATTGGCAGTAGTAGTTGTTTGCAACATGTCTTCATTTGTATATAAATTTACAAATATATGATGATGACTGCTGACCGATGCATGACACCAATGTTTTACATTGAATTACCTTTATTAATTATTGCGTTTTAATTGGTAGTATTTATTTAGGTAAAAAAACGACACGTGCATCTTTCGTCCTTATTTAGTACACGTAATGTAGTCAACAAAGGGCCTTTGGGTTTTTAAAGTAAAGGCGCCGAAAGAATTTTATGAATTTCCCAAATATTAAATTGATAAACAATACTGAATGAGTTATTCGGTTTAACTTAAAGCAAAAAGGCCTTGCGTATTGGTAAGAAGAAGATTTGGTCATCTATTCATAATACATTGTTAAAATAATAAAGTTTACAATATCTGACATACTACCATGATTCAATAACTGCAATTAAAATCTATCAAAATATTAAACAAGCGGCTGCCAGGCAGGATACGCCCACATTTTCGAGAGATGGATAGAGAACAAGCTAACAAGAAAGTGATTTTTCCTACAATCAAGGGCCATAATTCAGGAAATTACAATTCGATATGCGCATATATCGAAAGGAACTGAACGAAAGGCAGCCATTTTGTCTGTCAATTTTGGGCCGATTTTCACGAAATTCGAACTCAGTTATTGATTTAAAAACTAACCTTGTTATTGCCAATCTATCATTTTCCAACCCAGGTTGCAAATAGGTTGAACCATCATACACCTGAAAAGATACCGGTACAAAAAAAATCAAAATTACATGTACTTGACCAGAATAATGCTGAAATTTACATTTGGAAATGTTAGTATTTATTAGAGGATTAATAGCAAACAGTGGGGGTAGCAACCAGCCTGCAACAATGGCATCCAAACAGTTTCCAACCACACATAAGACCTGTTGAGAACGGCAGCGCTTTTTTAAAAGAATAATATTCACCTTTTTAATTACTAAATAATAAGGAATATTATAAACCATGGACTGGTTTAGATATTTCTGGCATTGGTGATAAAATCAATCAGGACTTGCCTTTTAAGATTACCTGATCCATGATATAAAACTGTCCCATCATCTTCACCCAGCAATATGGTCATCATCTCTACGACCTATATATACCCAATCATATCTCTGTCATTGATCTGTTAATACAAAAGAACAAAAATATTTAATTTTTTGTAAACTCGCCCATATGAAATATCGCATGAAGTTTTTCAGAAATATTTTTATTTAACAAATTTATACTTTAAACATACAAACAAAATATATCTGGCACCAACTTACCCTGCCCTACTGGCATTAACATAATGACTCTGACTTCATTACTACAAACATATATATTGGTTCTAATCCAAGAAAAATATATATTGACCGGACATCAATTCATTTTTCAAAAGAATCATTTATTCATTTATAAGGACAGTCCAGAATAAGATAAATATACAACGTACATGGACCTCTATCATTCACACATCAAACAACTTGTTTAAATAAAAACATCTTTCAGCAATGGCTGAATGAGGTAACTTGAAATCATGGCCCATGCTGAAATTAAGAACAGAATAATTTTGTATGCAACTCTCTTGTAAATATGTGCACGTTTTTCTGTGGTTTATCTTATTGATCTTGACTATATTTTTTTTGATATGAAATACTTTATCGGCTTGAAATGAATATAACACGTGAACAGCGCTCCTCTAAGTGTGAATCAGCAGATGCCAGGCAGGATACGCCCACATTTTGCAAGAGATGGATTGAGAACAAGCTAAAAACAAACATGATTTTTTTGTACAATCAGGGGCAATAATCCAGAAAGTTATGGCCTGAAATGTGCAAATATCAAAAGGGACAGATCTTTCGGATATAAAGATTATGTTTTAAGTTTCATCAAAATTGGATAAGAAATGTGATCTCTAGAGGGTCCACACCTTCGTATTACAAAATTCTACATAATTTGCGTACAAAGAGCGGCCATGTTGTCGGGCAGTTTCATTTCGAAATTCGAATTCAACCTTCATTATGGTGGAATGGTGATGTATTTAAACGGTTTTTAAAATTGGAAAAAAAATTGTGACTCTATCAAGAATCCGCAAGATGAAAATGTGATTTTTCGAACAATCAGGGGCCATAAGTTAAGTTCGGTATCCGCGATTATCAAAAGGAACCAAGATCTTAGTGTGTAATGGTGATGTATTTTTAAATCAGATAAACATTATGACCTCTACAGGAACAACAAGCAAAAAACGCAATTTTTCGTACAATCGGGGACATAATTCAGAAATTTACAATCCAATATGCACGAATATCGAAAGGAACCATGATCATTGGGTTATAAACATGCATTTCAAGTTTCATCAATCGGGTGAAAGTTAAAGTGACCTCCACAAGCTAAAAGCGTGATTTTTGGTACAATCAGGGGCCATAATCCATGAAGTTATGGTCTGATACATGCCAATATCGAAAGGACCCGAGAACTGCAAGAGATAGACCTATATTTCGAGTTTCGTTAAAATCAGATAAAAATTGTGACCTGTAGAGTGTCGATCACAAACAAATAGTGAACGGACAGGGGCAACGACATAAAATGAAAATGTGGGCGTATAAAAAAGGACGTTTAAATATATACTCAAACACTAGAAAAGCTCACCTGTGACTTATTATACTAGATTTTGCCTACTTCCAATCTCCATTACCATGGAATGAGATTATTCTCGAGACTAGAATGAAAAATTGGTTGAATTTGACATTGTCTATTAAAAACAAAAGATCAAACCCGATCAGTCACTTATTATACACTGTCTGTTTACTATGTAGAGAATTTGATGGGGCGATACAACGGGATGCGCCTTCACACATTTTGTTTCAAGCCATGAAACAGAGAGTCTATTACTTTTCTTTCCTATTGGTGCATGGTGACAAGAACGCGGGTGTTTGATTTTTTAAAAACAAATATTTTCTGTCTGTTATCCGGGTTTTCAAAATTTGTGATTTTCTTTCTTATCTGTGGTGCTAAATCAGGTACGTATGTTTACTGATAAACATTGTTGATTTTGATTTTTTTCTCCGTGAGATACCGCCGACACAATTTATGTTGTGCTAGAGGTTTTACTTCAAAGTCCTTATTATACAGCAGTGATTTTATTTTATTTTTTTTTTTTAAAAAATACGAACACAACTTTGAAATACAGGTACAACAAAATAGAAAATCAAAAATTTAGAAAAGTCACATATAGGCCACAACAATACATATTTAATCAAAAATCTATTCCTACCTACCTAAAGAGAACAAGCTCCCTTCTCTTCGTCAGCTAATTTAAAATTGAATTGTCCGTTTGTGAGTTGCCCAGTGACACAACGCAATAAAATTATTCACGTGCTTTGGTCTCTCGGTTACCCAGACGCTTACAGTGTATATCTCTTCCACAGTGCGTCTGGATAAAAGAATCATGATACTACTTTCTTCACAAAAAGTGATCTGTAATCTGTGGCTGGTTAAAACAATGAAAACTGTCGGTGATAGTTTGGGGTTTGTGACCTCACTTTATATCAATCAACACTAAACACTTTTTGGGGGGAAACAATATTTTATTTCAAATAGATGAAAAGGATTGGGGAACAGGCATAGTCAATCACCCCTCTCCTCATACAAGGAATATAAAACATAATAATTTTAAATATATTTCACATAGCCTCCCCCCCCCCCCAATATTTTGCCAACAATAATGATTTCTTAGGAGCGTTCTTAGCCGTACACATCCTCAGCCCCTCCAAAAAATTCCGTAGCCCCACCAAATTTTAAGAGCTGGCTACGGGCCCGGAAGGACTATTATATAGTTCTTGCCATTTTTCTTGTCTCAAAATAGGATAGTTTTGATAAAAAGGGCATAAAACATTATACGTACAAATATAGGCCTTTATATGTAATAGGGTGTGTACAGAGATTGTTAAAGGCGGGGTTTTCAACTGTTGTGTGTAGAATGTGCTTTGTTAGAAATTTTGCCCGGACAGCAATTGAATTCCATCTGTCAAGATCTCTTTTACGTGTATGCCAACGTGTACACAGGACCTTGGATTTTTCTTCCAATCCATTACCACGCTGGGAATTACCGGGATCAAACCGGTGACGGCCTGTTTAGGGATCCAGCTGATCGTTACCCACCTTGACTCCCCGCTATAGGCCTTTATATGTAATAGGGTGTGTACAGAGATTGTTAAAGGCGGGGTTTTCAACTGTTGTGTGTAGAATGTGCTTTGTTGGAAATTTTGCCCGGACAGCAATGGAATTCCATCTGTCAAGAGCTCTTTTACGTGTACGCCAACGTGTACACAGGACCTTGGATTTTTCTTCCAATCCATTACCACGCTGGGAATTACCGGGATCAAACCGGTGACGGCCTGTTTAGGGATCCAGCTGATCGTTACCCACCTTGACTCCCCGCTTGGTAAATTCTGAGTTCAATCCTTACTTGGAGCGACTTGGGCTATAATTACACATTAACATACAGAAGTGGATATACGCCTACTGAATATCAACATTTAGCAATTTAAAATATTCCAGGATCCAGAACAAAGATATTCGGAAGAATGAGAAGACCACGAACAGCTTTTAGCGCCAAACAACTGTCTGAACTTCAACGCAAATTTGGGGAAAACAGATATTTAACTGAAGAAAGAAAAGAACTTGCAGAGGGGCTAGAATTGAACGAATCGCAATAAATATGGTTTCAAAATCAAGAAATAAGCCATTTTGAATATATTATTATAGTATCATAAAGGTACCAGCTTCAACACATGTAGACTTTGTCACGAGCTTTATCTAGATCAGAAAACCAGGAACTGTTCCGAATGTGATGCTATACATTTTAGACCGAAGAGAACAATGATGGAAATAATAATATGACTATCTGGTAATAGTTTTTGTTTCAAAATATTTCTTCAATTGTAACTGCAGAAGGACTGATTATTTTATTGTCATCTTTATATTAAAAACGATGGTAAATTTCAAACATTATCGTATTCAAAAACACCATAGACTCGAAAATCCACGAACTGACATTTTTCAGGAGTGGTCAGTAAATGCTAAAACTCACTAAAATCCCTCCAAAAATGAGTAGTCTAGTCACCCACGGACACAAGGGGGCAACTCGAAGTCAGATAGGTTCACTTGCCCCAAATTGTTTTCCTTGATATTCTTAGTAGTACCATTTCCCTTCTCTTGTCTGTTAAAGATACATTATGGGAGATTAGATAAAGAGCTGACAGTTCTCACTATAATAGTTAAAAACTAGATAATGTAAGGGGAATTTGCTGAAAACTTCAGTCAAGTAATTGATTCACTCTGAACCGAGAATTTAGCGATTGAATTTTGGGCCTAGCCTCGATCATCGTTACTAAAGTCGGTACGATAAAATACATAGTCTCGATTATCCATTTGTTGATTTAATCATGAATGAGAGTTGAGCAACAGATCAGATCCTAATGCAGTAAATATCACATGCTTTCGATGACATCGAGAGTTGATTATAGTCTGGATAAATTAATTAATGTCTAATAATTTAGATAACATTTCAGGCTTAAAGAAAGACCTGCAATAGGCAGATGTAGCTCTTGCATAAAGTCAGAAGAAGAAACAATTTGACTGAATAATGCCTTCAGCTATGCTACATGTTCATGGCAATTTCAAGTCGGACTCTTTCGTTGTTGATGCTGCATAACTTCTATTTCATTCTGTATTTTAGACATCTATGTGTTATCCCCATCTTATGAAATCCAAGCCCATATTGTCACTTTTAGTTTGTTCTAAATATTGTCGGATGACGTGTACAAGGCAAGTAATCCTTACTTGTTTTGGAACACTCGAGTTCACAACCTTTTCCTAATCGGCGAAAATTATATTTGTTAGCTGACACGATATCCTGTAAAATGTCAGTGACGTACCGGATATAAATAACAGTTGACAAATTCCTGGGGTTCTTCTCTTCCAACGCCGGGATTCGAACCAGCAGCATTCTAGTTGCGAATCGGGTTCCCTAACGCGGTAAACATGTAAACAACCTTTGAAAAATATTGAGATCATTCGAATGCACGTAAAAGATCCCTTGGCAGTTGGAATTCGATATAAGAGTAGGCGAAAGCACACTGTATGGCGGATGCCCGTCTTCATTAGCCCAGCATAGGAGCAGAACAGTAGGACGTTAAACCCCATTTCATTTCATTTCTGTCACCCCCCCTTCTAAATTTTTATGAGACAATTGTAACATATTGGACTCTTTGTCATTATAAATATTAAGATCACCGTAATGATAAATCTAATGATTCGAATGGAAGACTGACTTTTAATTTTATTTCAGGAAATTGATTATTAGTGTGTCAAGTATAACAAGAATTATCAACAATATAGTGATCTAAAAAACATAATAAAATACATGTAAAAGATGAAAAACTTCTGTGTGTTATACTGATATAGATGAAAATTATTATGGACATATTAAAAAGGAGAAAACTGAGTAATTTGTTCATGAATGCAACTATGTCATGAAGTATTTCATTTATACACTGAACTAGAAAAATATTGTGAAATACATGTTAAAGAAGAGGAACTTAGAGACAATGCCAGGAGAGGTTCATATCAATGATCAGTTTGTAAAACTAGTTAGTTTTAAACAGTACAGTGACCTTGAACTACATTTAAATGAAAATCATTAATATAATACAATTAATAAACCGATACATTATAAATTATACCAATAACAGTTAATGATTTTATGGACAAACATGCACGAACAAAAATGAATCTCTAGACACAAAGACAAATGCATGTATATGCAAATACACTAAATTAAATACTTCAATAGACACTCATCTGTAGACACTAAAACAAATGCGTCTATATACGCTAAAACAAATTAGACCAAGAGCCAGTGACGAAAAAACTGCCTCAGAAGTAATAGAGGGTTTGACCATATTAATTGGCAGCTATTGATAGGACAAATTCAAAACAACCAATCTTACGTATCAGTGGGACATTTGGCTGGGAGGGGCAGATAAAAAGGGCTAAAATTTGACTCATAAGTAGTAGGATCAGAATTTTTTCTAAAATATTGCCATACAATGTATGCATATAAACTGCCTCATAAGTAATCTAATTGAAATCGGTGCCAAATGTTAGCTATGCACGAGCCGATTCTAAAAATATCAAATCTGACTGGTTTCAGTGGGGCACATCCCTAATCTGACCACTTAAAATCTGCCCGATCTGCCACGCCCACAAAAAAGATCAAAATTTGTATCATAAGTAATACGATCAGAAATAGTTTTGAAATGTTGTTGTGCTATATCTGAATCTTAAAATGCAAAATCTGACGGAAAAAATGGGCCACACCCCTTTCTGACTGCCCTAAAAAAAATGTGGGCGGGGACCCAAAAATGCCTCATAAGTAATAAGACTGAAATTGGTGCCAAATGTTAGCTAATTATCAGACGGTTCTAAAACTATCAAATCTGATTGGTTTCAGTGGGGCAAACCCCTAATCTGACCACTTAAATGTGCCTCATCTGCAACGCCCAAAAAGGGGTCAAATTTTGCCTCATAAGTAATATTACTGAAACTGGTGGCAAATATTAGCTGTGCATTAGTCGGTTCTAAAAAAATATCAAATCTGAATGGTATAAGTGGAGCATATTCATAATCTGACTACTCAAATATCACAACCCACCACACCGGCAAGGTGAATACACATTTTGTTATGCCTTAAAAGTTAAATCTACAAACTGAAATATGATTCAAATTTGTGCCAAATGTCTGTGAGTAGGTTCTGTTTGGTTTATAAACCTTTAAGAACTTACTATATCTGTTGCACTTGTTAAATGACATAATCTATATGTGCGACAAACAAACTTTTCTATTGCAGGTGTATCTTCGTAATTCATATCTTGGTGGCATCCAAAGTTGGAAAATTATTCTTGGAACTCTGAATTGCCCTCAAGAACTTTTAATGGGCGAATCTTTCCCATTCTGAAGAAATCAGCTGTATAGTCACAGCCAGTTAAGCAGTGAAAAACTGACAAAGCACTGCATAATGGTGGTCCTAATTGTCTCAATATATCAATTCTTTTGCGACTGGATTCCAACCTCCATCCACACATTTCCGACACAAGGTATTTCCAAGTAGAATGATCAAAACATCTGTAACTATGGAACGGACAATATTACGTTTGGACAGGTTTGTCGCAGCTATATGAAAAAGCATTGTTGAACCTGCGTCTTCGTGCACACATGTCAATGTAGAATCTTTGTTACATAACAGAACAGTCCGTATTAAGTTGCATACGATGTCTTAGATCTAATAACTGGCAAATAGTCAGTACTCGTCCATTATTAACGGAGTGTGTGTGTGTGTGTGTGTGTTTGGTGTGGGTGGATGGCCGAATGGTTAGCACGTGCGCGCTGTATCATAAGGTCTGTCATTGAGTCAACTGGCGTGGTTTCGATTCCCCGGTTGTACATGACAAGGATCAGGGTCGCCAACCTCGTTGGTTTTCTACGGGTCCTCCGGTTTCCTCCCACTGCTAAAGACCCCTACGAGCAAGCGAATTATTGAAACGAAATTGAACCATGTGTTAGTCCCGAAATGACCCAATCTGTGTCGAATGGACGTTTTAACCCCATTTCTCTCTCTCCCTCGGTCTCTCTCGCCCTCTTTTCAATTGTTAAATAGGCACAAGAGATTTTGTCAACTTGTACACTTTGATGGCCGTCTCATGTTTGGACATTCTTGGTCACGATCCAAGGAACCAGCACGTCTATCTCTGTCTGTGTACTTTGTCGATGGATCGCTTGACTAGACACATTACATATTTTAACTAAAATATAACGAGCAATTACACCAAATGTTGCTGGGAGGGTTCCAAGTAGATGGAGAAAGAACATTTCATCTATCACTGTACAGTCAATCCATTTAGGCTCAGAGACTCTACTCTACTTTCATGGGCCTTCAAAAGCAAATATGTTTGAGTTAATATCATGGTTTCATATATAAAGCTAAACACATGTGACAGGTCTAATTCATTTTCGATAAAGTAATAGACCCGCCATATCTCTTTCCATTTTCAACTGTAGCCTACGATGTTGCCGCGCTTTTGTCGTTTCTTGAAGGTACTGTCAGAAGCAAATGTGCTTGGTTTTGACCGTTTTATGGGTTTATCAAATCTGAAGGGGTCTCCAATAACTTTTGAAATAAATTTGTCACGATACATGTTGCCATTTTCATAAACGTTTAAAAAAGGAAATCTGTTGATTAATGTTAATTAATATATCTTGCTCCGCATTATTCCCGAATGGATTAGACATGTTTACAATTCGTTCAATAATTTTGATGTTATGGGCTGTGTTTTGAATATTAGCTTGTCTCAATTCAGAAGTTACATCTTCAGGTCTGGAAATGCCCATATGTTCAATCTCCAACTATAGTTGCCCTCATATAATGAGACATGGACCATCTATGTCAAAAGCTGCTATGGAATTTGTAAATGATGATATTAATACCCGAAAAACGATTAGTAGCATCTGCATTAACTGACTGTTCACGTATGGGAAGGGCACCTCTTTGGAATTCGTCAGATATTCCAGGATGCGTTTCATCTATTTTCATCATATTGTCATGCAACCGGAGAATCCATCTGGCATAGTTTGGTTAATATGAACTGAATAATAAACTTGCTCCTTTTCATTTACAACCGGGGAATCGAAACCACGCCAGTTGACTCAATGACAGACCTTATGATACAGCGCGCACGTGCTAACCATTCGGCCATCCGACACCCCCCCCCCCTCCCACACACACACACACATACACACACTCCGTTAAAAATGGATGCGTACTGACTATTTGCCACTTATTAGATCTAAGACATTGTATGCAACTCGAAATACGGACTGCACGACATGTATGCACGAAGAAGCAGGTTCAAGAATGCTTTTTCATATAGCTGCGACAAACCTGTCCAGACGTAATATTGTCCATTCCATAGCTTAGCTACAGATGTTTTGATCATTCGACTTGGAAATACCTTGTGTCGGAAATGTGTGGATGGAGGTTGGAATCTATTCGCAAAAGAATTGAGATATATTGAGACAATTGGGACCATCATTATGCAGTACTTTGACAGTTTTTCACTGCTTCACTGGCTGTGAATATACAGCTGATTTATTCAGAATGGGGAAGATTAGTCCATTAAACATACATTATGCAAGAGCTAAATCTGTCTATTTCAGGTCTTTCTTTATCCCTGAAATGTTATCTAAATTATTAATTAGACATTAAGAGTCATTCCACGAGAAACCCATGCAGAAGGTGGGAAGGTGTCGGCAGATCAAGTTCATCTCTGGGGGATTTTATGGACTCCTCAAGACAACTTCACAGCAAGGAGGGCCGATCTCAAAATTTCACCGTTATTGAGAAACAGCCTCTGGTTGATTTTTGGCCAATTTTGCCCTTTTTCAGATCATTTTTGGTCAATTTTCAGCCACCTATTGGCTGGATGGAAATGGGTGAAATGTGATTGGAGAATTTGTTTGCGTACATGCGGATAGTCCTGATATAAGAAATAAATTAAATAGCATTATGTAATAAAACATTTGTCTTTAGACACATTATATTTGACTTTAACATTTGACATTACTATAATTAAAGGTATTTTGACATTATCATTATCAGTAAAAGGCCTATATATATATCTCTTAATGTCTTAAGCCCGGCCCATACCGCTATGACTACACACAACCCGACAGGACTCAGCGTCTTGGGTAGTTGTAAAAACAAATCGGGTCGCGTCTTTACTTCACTTGCCTACGACAGTACCAGTCCACACAGGCCCGACTCTCACATGACTAAATGCTACTCTCTGATTGGCTAAACAACAGTAAGAAAATTGATCGTGTCGTGTGAGTGTCCACACAAACACAATGGGTTACAACTGTATCCGACTACGACTGAACATGCTCAGTCCGGACGACGCGACGGAAATCGATTGAATAGTGGTCGTGGGACTGTCCACACTGCAGTGATTATCTGAGATAAGACGTTGCGTCGGGTAGAGTCTGGGCAAGTCGTGGCGGTGTGGGCCGGACATAACATTTAATACAGAAAAACACATTTTTGTAGAGCATTTAATATTGACAGTCATAGCCTTGATACAGATGATAAAATTACAGAAATTTAAAAAGTATTAAATATTTATAGTCAGTGCCTTGAATGTATGGTCATGTGTCGACGTAGATTACTTTTTTTACCAAATGATTTATTACAAACATCACATGTATGCGGTTTTTCTCCAGTATGAATTCTCATGTGACTCTTCAAATGACGATTTTGGGAAAAAGATTTGAAACACAGATCACATTTAAATGGTTTTTCTCCAGTGTGAGTTCTTGTGTGTTCTTGTAAGTTTGTGTTCTGAGTAAATGACTTACTACAAACATCACACTTAAAAGGTTTCTCTTTAGTATGCGTTCTGGTGTGTGTTTGTAAATTACTTAAAGTAGAAAAAGATTTGCCACAAACATTACACATGAAGGGTTTCTGTCCATTGTGAATTTTCTTATGGTTGCCAAGATTACTTTTCTGATTAAATGATTTACCACAAATATCACATTTAAATGGTTTCTCACCAGAATGAATCCTTAAATGTGCCTTAAAATGACTCTTGTGGTTAAATGATTTACTACAAACATCACATAAATAACATTTCTCAGACTCTTTAATATGACTCTTAGTTTGTTCCAAAAGTAATTGTTCTTCAGGAAATGTCTTGTTAACAATATCATCTGTAACATTTTCTTCTTTCTGTGATGTATTCTCTGTATTGTCTAAATGTAAATGTATCTTATTGTGTATTTCTAGGTCACTGTATTGTTTAAAATTTATTTGACACACAGAACACTGAATAGGGACAAATCTACTGGTACTTGATATGAAATTACTTTCGCTGTTACAACTTTTATACTCTTCCACACAAATACTATTTTTATTTGTGAAATCACTTTTGCAAAATGTTGTAGCTTCTCCAGTTTCCTCTTCACCAAAATGAACATTATAAAAGGTTTCGGAGTCAACAGTATCCATGTTTTTATTTTCAAAATCATCTGATTGTTCATTTTCTGCATCCTCCATTTGTTCTAGTTCAGATAATATTACATCCTTTTCCTTTTGTTTTTTATAATCAATATTAGAATATTTGTTGCAGTCGGTGGTCTCTTTCAGATGAGAGTCACAAGTTTCACGTATGATCTTCTCATCATTATTTTCAAATAGAAAACAGGGCCTATCAAATATATCACATTCCTTTTCATTACATTCAGTGTGTAATTGAAGTGATTTACTGGAAGTAAATAATTTCTTACAAACATCGCATTTAAAGATTTTGTCACTGGTGTCTTTTGCCTTAGGATTATTCAGAATTTTTTGATTGGACAATGGTTTATTACAAATATCCATTGAGCAAGCACCTAGTTCATTTACTCCTAAAGAATGACTAAACATGTCATATTCAGATGGGTTATCTCCCTTGTGGGTTTTAATGTGACGTTGAAGATTACTTTTCTGACTAACAGCTTTACCACAAATATTACATTTGTAAGGTTTTTCACCAGTATGAATTCGTCGATGATTCTTAAGTTGGTGTCCTTGAGTAAATGATTTATTACAGAAATCACATGTATATGGTTTTTCCCCTGTATGGCTTCTCCTATGTTCTTGTAAGTTTATGTTCTGGGTAAATGATTTACTACAAACATCACATTTAAAAGGTTTCTCTTTAGTATGAATTCTCATATGAACTTCAAGTTGACCCTTTTGAACAAATGATTTACTACAAACTTCACACATAAACAATTTTTCACCACAGTGAATTTTCATGTGATTGCGTAAATTACTTTTCTGATTAAATGATTTAGTACAAACATCACATTTAAATGGCTTTTCACCTGAATGAATTCTTAGATGTGCCCGAAAATGACTCTTGTGATAAAATGATTTACTACAAACATCACATAAATAGCATTTTTCATCAGTATGAATCGCTAATTTTTTGATTTGAGTACTTTTCATTGTACCAGTCAAAAATTTTAAACCACTGTCACAATTTTTATTTTGTTTAGTTCGCGAAGCCATCTTCTCACTTCTGATTTCTTGCTTTCCTCTCTGGATGTTGTTGTTTGAATTTCTTCTCGAATCTTTCCTTGGGCTATTTTGTTCATCCATGGTCTTAATTTTATGAAATATGCCCACATTATCAAAGTGCACATCACAATTGGCATCTATGACATCATTTTTCTCATCGTTTACATGTATTTTATTGTGATTTACCAAATCACTTTTCTGTTGAAAAATCTCATCACAAACAACACATTGATAGTTATCAGCACCAATACTTGTTTCCTGAAAGAAAGGTAACACGTAACAAATGGTTGCCATGCAAGATACCCCCACATTTTGCAAGAGATGAACAGAGAACAAGCTCAAAAAAAGAAGTGATTTTTCGTAAAATCAAGGGCCATAATTCAGGAAGTTACGATCCGATATGCATGAATATTGAAAGGAACCAAGATCTTTGGGTTATAAACATGTATTTCAAGTTTCATCAAAATCGGATCAAAATTGTGTCCTCTCTCTAGAGGGTCCAAAACCTTGATATATACCATATATTTATAATATTTGCATACGAGGGGCAGCCATTTTGTCCTGCAGTTTTGGTTCGATTTGTACGAAATTCAGACTCAACCATCATAAGGGTGTAACAGTAATATATACAAACGTTTTTTTAAATCGGATAAAAATTGAGACATCTAGAGGGACCTCAAGCTAAAAACGCCATTTTTCGTACAATCAGGGGCCATAATTCAGGAAGTAACAATCTGATATGCACGAATATCGAAAGCAACCAAGATCTTTGGGTTATAAACATGCATTTCAAGTTTCATCAAAATCGTATTAAAATTGTGACCTCTACAGGGTCCACAACATTGATATACCATATTTTTACCTGGCCATTTTGTCTGTCAGTTTTGGTTCGAATTTTACGAAATTTGAACTCAACCATCCTTAGGGTATAACGGTGATATATTCAAACGTTTTTTTAAATCGGATAAGAATTATGACCGCTATAGGGTCCACAAGCTAAAAACTTGATTTTTCGTACAATCAGAGGCTAAATTCAGGAAGTTATGTTTCGATATGCACGAATACCGACAGTAACCGAGATCTTTAGGTTATAAACTTACATTTCAAGTTCCATCAAAATCAGAAGAAAATTGTGACCACTAGAGGGTCCACAACCTTGTTATACCATATTTTTACGCTATTTGAGAAATCAAACCATCCTTAGGGTATATTGGTGATATATTGAAACGTTTCTTTAAATCAGATAAAAATTATGACCTCTATAGGGTCCACAAGTTAAAAACATGATTTTTCGTACAATCAGGGGCCATAATTCAGGAAGTTACAGTCCGATATCGAAAGGAACTGAGATCTTTGGGTTATAAACTTACATTTTATCAGTCAGTTTTGGTCTGATTTTCATGAAATTCGAACTCAGCCATGCTTAGGGTGTAACGGTGATATATTGAAACGTTTTTGTAAATCGGATATAAATTATGACCTCTATAGGGTCCACAAGCTAAAAACAGGATTTTTCGTACAATCAGGGGCCATAATTCAGGAAGTTACGGTCTGATATGTGCGAATATCGAAAGGAACTGAGATCTTTGGGTTTCAACAAAATTGGATAAAAATTGTGACCTCTATAGGGTCCACAACTTTGATATACCATATTTTTACGCTATTCGAGAATGGTGGGCGGCCATTTTGTCAGTCAGTTTCGGTCCGATTTTCACGAAATTCGAACTCAGCCATTCTTAGGGTGTAAAGGTGATATACTAAAAATTATGACCTCTATAGCTAATAGGGTCCACAAGCTAAAAATGCAATTTTTCGTACAATCAATCTAATTATCCATGCCCTATATCCAGACTGTATATAGAAGTCTGTTACAGATGTTAATCAAAAGGTTTATGTCCCAGGATGTATTTGAGTGAATATAGGCGAGTGAGTGGGGGATGGTGCTGGCGAGAGAAATCTATGGAAATAACTTATAGTTTGGATTCATTGATGACAGACAAAGGAAATGATGCTACAAGATTCAATGCTGTTACACAATAATCAATAGAGAAATAGAATTCAATATTAAAATATTCACAGAAGTACAACAAAACAATACAATTCAGCATTTTCTATCATGACTATATATTTAGGAAGAAAGTTATGAATGTTACAAGAGTTTAATTCTTTCGCTTATTTTAATATTTAATTTATTTTCGAAAAAATTTCAAGGTTATTTAAACAGATTTTTTTAGTATTCGTTATTCGACCTCAGTGCCATTTGTAAGAAGGGACTCGAAAAACGAGACTAGACATATTCCACAAGTCATGTCAAATGTTGACTTCATATTCTTATCTGTAGAGCATGTGCAATAAGTAGGGTGAACACCCGTCCAGAATTTCGCGGGACAGTACCGCAAAATGTTTCCAAGTCCTGCGTCCCGAAAACCAGCCAAAATGTCCCAGAATTGATCACATAGAAGATTTCTATAGAGTCATATGTGTGAATCTAATCTGGCGATAGTCTATTTAAGTATTAGTCTAGTGAAAATACTGAAAGACCCAGCACAAATTCCTTTAGATGGTCTTTTGGTACCAACTTCTAGATGACCTTTCCCTTTACATCATACTGAAAATCCACCGGCGTGGTTCCCCCTTGTCACTGGTGCAGGACAGAGGGACTTGGACAACATATACTCATTCGGATGAGACCTAAAAGAATCCTTGGCATAATGTATGTTTAACAAAACAAGACCATAATCAAATCTCGATGGCATCAGACACTCAAGATTTTTACTAGATTTGAACGGTTCGCCATTTTAAAATTTAATTTAAAAATGAGAAAGCGAGGCTAAGTCTCGAATATACCGGTGCCCTGGTTACCACTATGCACTCATCTTGTCAAAACTACAAACAGTGATAACTTTGCTCAGAATGAAGTAATTTGAATGAAATTTTCAATATTTTCGTTTTACATTATCTATTTTTGAGCTATTATAGCAAGAATGGTCAGCTCTTTATCTAAATCTTACATAATGTATCTTGGACTTGGACAACGTATACTCATTCGGATGAGACCTAAAAGAATCCTTGGCATAAGGTATGTTTAACAAAACAAGACCATAATCAAATCTCGATGGCATCAGATACTCAAGATTTTTACTAGATTTGAACGGTTCGCCATTTTAAAATTTAATTTAAAAATGGGAAAGCGAGGCTAAGTCTCGAATATACCAGTACCCTGGTTACCACTATGCACACATCTTGTCAAAACTACAAACAGTGATAACTTGGCTCAGAATGAAGTAATTTGAATGAAATTTTCAATATTTTTGTTTTACATTATCTATTTTTGAGCTATTATGGTCAGCTCTTTATCTAAATCTTACATAATGTATCTTTAAAAAAATAGATAATGAAAAGGGAATATGTTGAAAATGTCAAGTCATATTAATTCATTCTGAGACGGGTTATCGTCGTTAAAAGAACAGTGTAGTCTCAATTATCATTTTTAAATTAAATCATAAATCAGTTGAAAATCAAAACCATCTGAAGTTCTAGAGAGTTGATTATGGCCTGGTATGTAAATAATTATTTATAAAACATTTCAGGTCAAAGGAAATATCTGCAATAGGCAAATATAAGCCTGGCGCACACTATGCGACGACCTTGGCAATTTCGATCCCCGATGATGAAAAATCCAAAACTTGCCTAGTGTGCGCACTCGGTCGGTAGGGATTTTTCGTCACCATAATCAAACATGTTTGATATGATTGCTCAAGTCGTCGCTTCATCGGCAACAAATCGTGTAATGTGTTCACCTCATTAGCTCTTAAATGAGAGAGAGAGAGAGAGAGAGAGAGAGAAGCGAGCTTAACCTCATTTTGGGACTAACACATGGTTTAATTTTATTTCAATCATTCGTTTGCACGTAGGGATCTTAAGCACTGGGAGGAAACCAGACGACCTGGATAAAAAACTACTCCTTGTCACTACAACCAGGGGAATCGAAACCACGCCAGTTGACTCTTTAACTGTAAGCTAAATCGCTAATATTTAGGACCTAGGAATTGACACAAATGGGTCGCAACGCATATAGTAATGTAATATGAAAGTATATAAACTGATTTAAATTCAATCGTTTCTGTTTTTACTGTAATTTCTAATCAGTTATGTTCGACGAAATGCGCCAAAATCTCAATTAAATGACAATCTTTAGCGTCTGGTTATTCCAGTCTACACCGATTGTATTTATTGCGCATGCTCTCCAGATAAGAATATAGCGTCACCATTTGACAGGACTTGTGAAATATGTCTAGCCACGTTCTTCGAGTCCCTTGTTCCAGATGGCGCTGAAATGCATTATAATTATGGTACACGATTCGTGTACCAATAGTAAAATGTTTATTTTGTCTTGATCATTGGATATCAGAAGCCCATCTTTCCCTGTAAGATCACAAGACCAATGTTGATTTGAATTAACAAGTAATTCGTGTTTTCAGTGTCGAAGATTTTTAACGATATTGAGTTAGAGACTTACTTAGCTACTTTAAAGTAGCTAAGTCTCTAACTCAGTATCATTCAAATTCTTCGGCATTGAAAACACGAATTATTTGTCAATTTAAATCAACATTCATGTTGTGATCTTACCGGGAAAAGATTGGCTTCTGATATTCAATATTTAAGACAAAATAAACATTTTACCATTGGTACACGAATCGTGTACCATAATGCGTTTCAGTGCCATTTGTAACAAGGGACTCAAAGAAAGGGGCTAGACATATTCCACAAGTCATGTCAAACAAAGATGCCATATTCTTATCTGGAGGCCATGTACAGTAAATACCATCGGTGTAGACTGGAATAACCAGACGCTAGAGACTGCCATTCGATCCGAGACTTCTGGTGCATTTCGCCAAAAATAATGACTTGAAATCAGAGTAAAAACGGAAACTAATGTAATATAAATAGTTTATATACATTCATATTACATTATTATATGCGTTGCGACCCATTTGTGTCAATTTCTATGTCCGAAATATTAGCGATTTAGCTCCTTTAACTTTAAGTTCAGATTTTTATGACCCCAAATGTCATTATATAAGAAATAGCCTATAAAACACCGGATTTAAAGTATTTTCTTACCATTCTCATTTAGCAAGACAACATTTCATCGCGCAAAGTTACTCTCTTGCTTTCTAGATTTATGAAAACAATCATTTGTATTATTTCTCGATGTTTCACACTCACAGGGGCCATTTGCAATGATATAAATATATTCTGAATTTGGACATGGATCTAACCTATACGAGTAATTCACATTTGCACTGACACTGATTTATTGTATCGAATAATCATCCTTTTATTTTTTGATAACATCAAGCAAATTGTGTTACCGAGAGATTAGGGTTAATCAAACGGCAATGACAATCCCTTCCCTCATTAGACCACTACAACTTTGTGTCCCCTGGTCATGGGCTTATATTTGGGTGGGGTATCATGACGCGCCATGTATAGGAGCTTTTACGCGTGACGTACTTCCGGTGTCAATTTTTAGCCTGGTCTTTTTCTTCGAGTATCTTAACATGGTAAATGCTAAGGAAAACGGGGTTTTTAGTCCTTAATAGAAAACGTATTCGTGTAAAATGCGTGTAGCATTCGTAATAAATTACCAATTTTAAATCAACCGAACACAAATTGGCGACCTATTCGGCTAGCGACCTATTAGACCGATCCAGCTGGCAACCTGTTCGTTGGCAACCTATTCAGAATTATGCCAACAGTCGCCGAAACTCATCTATTTTTATCAACCAATAAAATCCAACGTTACGTCTATCAAATGAAAGTAGAATATATTATTTTTATCCAATCCTTTAGCTCAGAAAAGAGGTGTAATTTCGCATTATCTTACAAAATTCTGGACATCCAACTAAATATATTCCGAAAGGTCATTACTAAATATATTCCGAAAGGTAATTAAACAGGCTTTCCAAATATTATTTGTAAACGTTGGCACAGTCATATTAAAGGGGTGCACTCTCATCCTAAACATGGCCAATTTTTCAATATTTTAAAGTGAAAGAACGGTAATATTCCGGGTCAAAATTCGGACTATCGTACAAAATTCTGAGCATCCAGCTATATATATTCTGAAAGGTAATTGAATAAGCTTTTTAAATATTATTAGTAAAAGTTGGCACAATTATATTAAAGGGGTGCGCTCTCAACCTGAACATAGCCAATTTTTCATTATTATAAATGTAAAGCATAGACCGGTATTTTTTTCGAAGTCCAAATTCGGATCACCATACAACATTCTGAGCATCCAGCTATATATATTCTGAAAGGTAATTGAATAAGCTTTCTAAATATTATTAGTAAAAGTTGGCACAATCATATTAAAGGGGCGCGCTCTCAACCTGAACATATTGAAAAATTGGCGTCGTGTAATTTTAACTCGGAATATTATTAGCTTTCTTTCACTTTAAAATATTGAAAAATTGGCGACGTTTAGGATGAGAGCGCACCCCTTTAATATGATTGTGCCAACTTTTACTAATAATATTTAGAAAGCTTATTCAATTACCCTTTAGAATATGTTTAGTTGGGTCATCAGAATTTTGTACGATGGTCCGAATTTTGGGCGACTGTTGGCATAATTCTGAATAGGTTGCCAACGAACGGGTTGCCAGCTGGATCGGTCGAATAGGTCGCTAGCCGAATAGGTCGCCAATTTGTGTTCGGTTTTAAATCATGTCTTAATTTTTTTATTTTTTTTTTCGTTTTATATACTGCGTTGTAGCAGACGATATATATATGCCAAGCTCGCACTCGGTCCACTTGACCGCTGTACGCAAAAGCAAAAATAAAAACAAAGATGCATTGCTGTATGAAGCCGATTTATATGTTTTGTGTTAATTTTACTGCAAACAATTAATAGGTAACATCTGTTTGGTTGTAAAATGCCACGAAATGGAGCATAAGAGTAAATACTTGGAGTTATTGTGCGTTATTGGATAGTTATTGCGTCAGTAAGATCAGGAATAATCAGACGACTCAATTGTGCAGGTCAAATTGTAGTTGTTTATTTAAAGAACATGGCGGGCATCTAGAGGGTACAAACAAAACGAGGCAGAACAAAAGGTGAAGGCCAGTTTACAGTTCAACATTAGTATGGAAACATATAATGGACGTAACTTAAACTAATAAACACGTATGATTAACAAGCATACTGGCGTTGGGTATTATTGGGCAATTTGACGCGCCCCACACTGCTGCTATGTCTCAAAACAAAATATTTCAAGAAGTCTGATCTCTAACAATCTTTTCTGGTACTCAGAATGCTGAAAATCAACAGTGTTCGTTGTCTTCAAACTGAATGCTTAAAAACTGGTACGTAGAATCCATCGCGTTCATAGTCCAATATTGTTGGCCGACGGATCGCCCATATTAATTTTGAATACACGAAAGAATGAAATGTTGTTTAAGTTCCTATTTTCCACGCCCACAGGGCTAATGAAGACGGGGATAGGCTGTGTTTGTACAATGAAAAATTTTGGCAAGACAGCAATTGAAGTCCAACTGTCAAGGGTGTATTTATGTGCACGTCAGACTAGGGGGCACACCCCGGAAAATTTGATTAACTTTTCCGGACAACACCAGGATCGAACACAGAAGCTTCAGATTAACGAGCCAGCGCTTATGGACACATAGTAAGCCCAAAAATGAAACAAACAATTAAACGCACACAGCTTGATCCATCATTAGATCAACCTACTTCTAATCTCTAATTTGATCTATAACAACCTTGAATAATTCGATATGTTAAAAATTATGATGCATAACTAGTTTTATGCCTGTTTTCATATTCACTGTGCGACGGCTGGCTGGATAGGTCTAAGCCTATCTGTGAAAGACCTGTGCAAAGTCGATGGTTTCCATTTATTTTTTTACATAGTTCCCTTCGAGGTGTAGGCCTACACACTTTTTCAAACGGTGTTGCTAGATCAGGAAGAATTTTCTTCAGACAACTTAATTAAAGATAGGTTGCCAGGCAACGAAACATACGCCCACAGCAGCTAAATCGTCCGGGGAGTCAACAAGAGTTGTCGCATATTTTTACTTCTTTCGGTAATTAAACATTTATAATACATTAAAATCTGATAAAGAGTAACAACTAATTAAGTAATTATCAGAAAACCATTAGAATTTGTTTGGTTTTTATAAAGTTCTGCCCAATGCTAATGTTTAGTATAGAAAACTTTTAACATCATGGATTTAGTTGTTCAAATCATACAAATTCATTGAAAATAAATATACTTGTTCGTCTCAAGACCTTAAACTCTGTGTATCAATCTGAAGTCAATCGGATGATAACTTTAGCCTCTAGAGCGTCAGAAGATTTTTCAAATTGATCAAGGGCCATAACTCTGGCAGTACTTATCAGAAATCGCCGAAAATCAATAGGCTTCTTCGTCTCATGACATTAAACACTGTGTATAAATTTAAAGTCAATCGGATATTAACTTTAGCCTCTAGAGCGTCCACAAGATTTTTCAAAGTGATCAAGGGCCACAACTCTGGCAGAACTTATCAGAAATCGCCGAAAATCAATAGGCTTCTTCGTCTCATGACATTAAACACTGTGTATAAATTTAAAGCCAATCGGATATTAACTTTAGCCTCTAGAGCGTCCACAAGATTTTTCAAAGGGATCAAGGGCCATAACTCTGGCAGTAATTATCGGAAATCGCTAAAAATCAATAGGCTTCTTCGTCTCATGACATTAAACACTGTGTATAAATTTAAAGTCAATCGGATATTAACTTTGGCTTCTAGAGCGTCCACAAGATTTTTGAAAGTGATCAAGGACCATAACTCTGGCAGTAATTATCTGAAATCGCTGAAAATCAATAGGCTTCTTCGTCTCATGACCTTAAACACTGTGTATAAATTTAAAGTCAATCGGATATTAACTTTGGCTTCTAGAGCGTCCACAAGATTTTTGAAAGTGATCAAGGACCATAACTCTGGCAGTAATTATCTGAAATCGCTGAAAATCAATAGGCTTCTTCGTCTCATGACCTTAAACACTGTGTATAAATTTAAAGTCAATCGGATATTAACTTTGGCTTCTAGAGCGTCCACAAGATTTTTGAAAGTGATCAAGGACCATAACTCTGGCAGTAATTATCTGAAATCGCTGAAAATCAATAGGCTTCTTCGTCTCATGACCTTAAACACTGTGTATAAATTTAAAGTAAATCGGATATTAACTTTAGCCTCTAGATCGTCCACAAGATTTTATGAAGTGACCAAGGGCCATAACTCTGGCAGTAATTATCAGAAATCGCCGAAAATCAATAGGCTTCTTCGTCTCATGACCTTAAACACTGTGTATAAATTTAAAGTAAATCGGATATTAACTTTAGCCTCTAGATCGTCCACAAGATTTTATGAAGTGACCAAGGGCCATAACTCTGGCAGTAATTATCAGAAATCGCTGAAAATCAATAGGCTTCTTCGTCTCATGACCTTAAACACTGTGTATAAATTTAAAGTCAATCGGATATTAACTTGAGCCTCTAGAGTGTCCACAAGATTTTTTGAAGTGATCAAGGGCCATAACTCTGAAGTGATCAAGGGCCATAACTCTGAAGTGATCAAGGGCCATAACTCTGGCAGTAATTATCGGAAATCGCTGAAAATCAATAGGCTTCTTCGTCTCATGACCTTAAACACTGTGTATAAATTTAAAGTCAATCGGATATTAACTTTAGCCTCTAGAGCGGACGGACGGACTGGCGGGGGTGACGACAATATACGACCAAATTTCAATGTGGGCGTATAAAAACGTCGTTCACAGCTGACATGACGTCATCATTACTTACAAAATGATGATCGGCTATTTCCTGTTTCATTTTTGGAAACAGGTGGATGTCTGACGAGGCCAAATCGGGCCAAAGAATTATCGGGATCTGCTTCAAAACGCCGCTGATTGTCACGAGACGTCAGGAATCCGGAGTCCAGAGCTTTGCCCCCATCTTGCAGAATTTGGTTACGTTTTTGAGTTGTGTGGATTAAGTCGTGGAAAATTGAATATTTTCTAAAAAATGCAAATGGCAAACAGACTTTAAACATACATTATGCAACAGCTAAATCTGATTATTGCAAGACTTTATTTAGGCTTCAGATGTCATAGAAATTATAAATTAGATCTTTATTTAAACAACAAGCACAAAATCAACTCTGTAGACCCACGGATGGCTTGGATTTAAACAGGATTTCGTTGACTGATTTAATTTTAAATGGCGTCGTGAGCAGAGATTAACCGTTATGTTGACGTCATACTCCCGGATCGAGGCTAAATGACAGAGTGTACGAAGCGAGGCCGCTGTTGAGCGACGCCTTAACAAATGACATCTAAACTATTTAAAGTGCAATAAACTAAACACAGATAATGACAAATTATACAATTCCTGGAGACCGTGTGATGACTATACAGACGGACAGGTCTTCTGTCTTAATAATATCAATAAAAATATTTTTATTTCCCCAATAGGCATGACGCCACTGGTGTATACCTATAGATTTATCATAATTGTATTATAATATTATGTCCTATATTCAATTGATTTAATGCATGCCCAAAATACAAGTAAGAATGAAAATTTACCCTCTCACTCATTTTGTCCAATTGTTATAAAAATCCAAAAAGGTAAAACACAAATTCGGATATGTGACAGCAGACAAAAGACAACAGAGATTATGTAGGTGGAGTTAACATCTGTCAATCAAACGATCGGCCATACTAAGAATCGGTGAAGATGGAATTCAATCCCATTTTTAGTCAAAAATTACACTGGTGATAACTATGTTCAGAATAAAGTAATTTGACTGAAATTTTCAATATATTCTTCTTTCATCATCTATTTTCGAACAGTTATAGCAAGAATGGCTAACTTCTTATAAAAATCTCCCATAATGTATCTTTAAGTACCGTATTTATAAATCTACATAACATTATTTATTGTGAAATACATTTTGCAATATTTCTGTAATATTAAGTGTTTAAAAATTACTTATTTTCTCAACCAAGTCACTCCAAAAATGGCATTTTATGGATAAAGGCCATAGAAAAATGATATGAAACAGAAGTAAAAATCTCTCACAAATTGTTTATTCTGAAAACTAAAAAAACTCTGTCATTTTCTAAGACAGTGCATGATACCTTTATATGAAAATGGAGTAGTTGCTATTACACTAAAGCGGTGGACACACTAGCCGAAGGATTTGGCCGAATCAATCGGCGTCGAAATTCGCCTAGTGTGTCCACTGTCATTCGGCCGAATGATTCGCCCGAATCAAACAGGTTTAATATATTCGGCCGAATTATATTCGCCTGGTGTGTCCGCTTCGCCGAAGCATTCGGCCGAATATAGAATTCATTAGCCAATCACCTCTCATACCGAGAAGTCACGTGATAGATTGAAGACATATTCGCCTGGTGTGTCCGCTTCGCCGAAGCATTCGGCCGAATATAGAATTCATTAGCCAATCACCTCTCATACCGAGAAGTCACGTGATAGATTGAAGACATAGACGCCGCCATGTTTAATCATGTGACGTGAAAGGTGATGCAATCGAAAGGTTGAATCGGGCGAAGCATTCGGCTAGTGTGTCCACCCATTCGGCCGAATAAAATTCGGCGCCGATTGGTTCGACCGAACGATTCGGCTAATGTGTCCACTGCTTAATGTCTTCTGGGTTGATAGAGAATTATTGGGACTGAATTTGTGGTCTCCCAATTTGTGTTCCATCGTTTCCATAATATTCGAAATTAAAAACACAAATTCAAACTCAATATTGGTACATTTTAATCAATAGTCATGTTGCTATATTACTAGGAAAATAATGGATCCTAATGTTCAATATTTAAAGATACAGTGAACATTTTAAGATCAGTAAATGCTCTTGTGTATTCTACAGACATAACGGTTTCAAGTGCCATTTGTAATGAACCAAGAAAACATACCCAAAAAAACAAAGCCAAAGTAATTTAAAATGGCTGACTGAGTCCAAATCACAAACGACAAATGACCCATTTTCCTCTATTTTCAGGTTCCAATGAATAGTGGTATGTGCCCTTTAATAAGTCTACAGTTACATGTATCCATCATTTGCACAAAAAAGAAACTGCTATGTTGAAAGCATTATGGGCAAATGAAATGTGGATGAGTGAAATGTGATTGGAGAATTTGCTTGTGTACATGCAGATAGTCCTGATATAATAAATAAATTAAATAGCATTATGTAATAAAATATCTTAGATTTAATACAGAAAAACACATTTTTGTAGAGTATTTAATATTGACAGTCATAGCCTTGATACAGATGATAAAATTACAGAAATTTAATTGATTTAAAAAGTATTAATTATTTATAGTCAGTGCCTTGAATGTATGGTCATGTGTCGACCCAGATTACTTTTTTGACCAAATGATTTACTACAAACATCACATGTATGAGGTTTTTCTCCAGTATGAATTCTCATGTGACTCTTCAAATGACGATTTTGGGAAAAAGATTTGAAACACAGATCACATTTAAATGGTTTTTCTCCAGTGTGAGTTCTTGTGTGTTCTTGTAAGTTTGTGTTCTGAGTAAATGACTTACTACAAACATCACACTTAAAAGGTTTCTCTTTAGTATGCGTTCTGGTGTGTGTTTGTAAATTACTTAAAGTAGAAAAAGATTTGCCACAAACATTACACATGAAGGGTTTCTGTCCATTGTGAATTTTCTTATGGTTGCCAAGATTACTTTTCTGATTAAATGATTTACCACAAATATCACATTTAAATGGTTTCTCACCAGAATGAATCCTTAAATGTGCCTTAAAATGACTCTTGTGGTTAAATGATTTACTACAAACATCACATAAATAACATTTCTCAGACTCTTTAATATGACTCTTAGTTTGTTCCAAAAGTAATTGTTCTTCAGGAAATGTCTTGTTAACAATATCATCTGTAACATTTTCTTCTTTCTGTGATGTATTCTCTGTATTGTCTAAATGTAAATGTATCTTATTGTGTATTTCTAGGTCACTGTATTGTTTAAAATTTATTTGACACACAGAACACTGAATAGGGACAAATCTACTGGTACTTGATATGAAATTACTTTTGCTGTTACAACTTTTAGACTTTTCCATACAAATACTATTTTTATTTGTGAAATCACTTTTGCAAAATGTTGTAGCTTCTTCAGTTTCCTCTTCACCAAAATGAACATTATAAAAGGTTTCGGAGTCAACAGTATCCATGGTTTTATTTTCAAAATCATCTGATTCACCCATTTGTTCTAGTTCAGATAATATTACATCCTTTTCCTTTTGTTTTTTAGAATCAATTTTAGAATATTTGTTGGAGTCGGTGGCCTCCTTCAGATGAGTGTCACAAGTTTCACGTATGATCTTCTCATCATTATTTTCAAATAGAAAACAGGGCCTATCAAATATATCACATTCCTTTTCATTACATTCAGTGTGTAATTGAAGTGATTTACTGGAAGTAAATAATTTCTTACAAACATCGCATTTAAAGATTTTGTCACTGGTGTCTTTTGCCTTAGGATTATTCAGAATTTTTTGATTGGAGAATAGTTTATTACAAATATTCATTGAGCAGGCACCTAGTTCATTTACTCCTAAAGAATGACTAAGAATGTCATATTCAGATGGGTTATCTCCCGTGTGGGTTTTAATGTGACGTTGAAGATTACTTTTCTGACTAACAGCTTTACCACAAATATTACATTTGTAAGGTTTTTCACCAGTATGAATTCGTCGATGATTCTTAAGTTGGTGTCCTTGAGTAAATGATTTATTACAGAAATCACATGTATATGGTTTTTCCCCTGTATGGGTTCTCCTATGTTCTTGTAAGTTAATGTTCTGGGTAAATGATTTACTACAAACATCACATTTAAAAGGTTTCTCTTTAGTATGAATTCTCATATGAACTTCAAGTTGACCCTTTTTAACAAATGATTTACTACAAACATCGCACATAAACAATTTTTCCCCATAGTGAATTTTCATGTGATTGCGTAAATTACTTTTCTGATTAAATGATTTAGTACAAACATCACATTTAAATGGCTTTTCACCTGAATGAATTCTTAAATGTGCCTGAAAATGACTCTTGTGATTAAATGATTTACTACAAACATCACATAAATAGCATTTCTCATCCGTATGAATAGCTAATTTTTCGATTTGAGTACTTTTCATCGTACCGGTCAAAATTTTTAAACCACTGCCACATTTTTTATTTTGTTTAGTTCGTGAAGCTATCTTCTCAATTCTGATTTCTTGCTTTCCTCTCTGGATGTTGTTGTTTGAATTTCTTCCAGAATCTTTCCTTGGGCTATTTTGTTCATCCATGGTCTTAATTTTATGAAATATGCCCACATTATCAAAGTGCACATCACAATTGGCATCTCTGACATCGTTTTTCTCATCATTTACATGTATTTTATTGTGATTTACCAAATCAATTTTTTGTTGAAAAATCTCATCAGAAACAACAAATTGATAGTGATCAGCACCAATACTTGTTTCCTGAAAGAAAGGTAACACGTAAAAATTTATCAGTCATTTTAAACATAGGACTTGATGGGCAGGTTAGATTCTATAAAAATATGGATAGAATATCAATATAGTATATTTGAACCATTTCTATCTCACTAGAATGAAGGGGAAGTATCTTTTAACCAGAGTAATTGGTTTTTGTCGACAATTGTCTAAAATTTCAATTTTCTAATTATCCCATGCCCTATATCAAGACTCTATATAGAAATCTGTTACAGACGTTAATCAAAAGGTTTATGTCCCAGACTGTTATTGAGTGAATGGGCTGGTGAGTGGGGGGATGGTGCTGGCGAGAGAAATCTATGGAAATAACTTATAGTTTGGATTCATTGATGACAGACAAAGGAAATGATGCTACAAAATTAAATGCGCCACTATGAAGTTTCATTGCCATTTGTAACAAGGGACTCGAAAAACGAGGCTAGACATATTCCACAAGTCATGTCAAACGGTGACTTCATATTCTTATCTGGAGAGCATGCGCAATAAATACTATCGGTGTTGACTGGAATAAGCAGATGCTAGAGATTGCCATTCGATTGAGACTTCTGGCATATTTCGCTGAATATAACTGATTTGAAATGAGAGTAAAAACGGAAAAGATTGAATGGAAATCAGTTATATACATTTATAGTACATTGTAACATGCTTAAGGGTGAATCTTCCATTTTGATTGGTCAATTAGACACTGTCTATTGGACAATAACATCCCTCTGTTTTAGCAAGGTGAATAACTGCGTATAAATATTACAGTGTACTTTTTTTCATTTTGTGCTCAACCATCTTCCTCAACTCAAATCTTTATTGACAAATATTTTCAAGAAATTCTGCTCAAATGACCATCACACTATTTTCAAACTTCATCCTTTATCCAAACACATCTCTGAAATACATAAAACAGTAGAAAATCAGTCATAAATTCATAAAAAACGTTTTCAGGCATCATAAATTATTCGTAACTAAGCAGTGTGGACAATTTTGTTTTCTTCTTTTTTTTTGAACTAAGCAATGTTTACTTTGAAGTGGAAATTTTAAATCAAGGTTTTATCAAATTCTGAATAACATGATCCACGTAATAATGAGTCATTAGTCACAAGAAATCATTTGAAATTTGAAAATAAAGCAAGAAAGGCGAAATAGCAGCTGAGATGGGCCTAGGATAACGGGAAATTATGCAAAAATTGACAATGATTGACAAAACATCAGAACGCTATACATAGCAACCACTAGAATCCTAGGCATCACATAGTTTTATAGGGTATTTTGAGGGATGTAATCAAGAACTGCTCTTCTTTGAACAAGAACTAGCAATAAAATTGTGTTGACGATCTGCAAATAAAATAATAAAAGCTAAAATCTCACCTATGTTACTGTAAACTCTTAAAGCGTAGCCATCATTGTTGCCAAAGCCAAGGTTACCTTGTGTAGTCTCGGTTAGCAGGCCGTAACTATTTCAATGATGGTTGGCATTAGGCCTACCGGTCAAAAAACTCCACTCTAACACTAATTTATTAATCTTTTTAAAAATCTTCAAACGTTAAAAATGTATTATTGGAAATATCCGAATAACATTTTCTTTCATAATTTATTTACCAGCGAACCGGGACTTAAGCATTTTAAAATTGAATTTATCTTTTCGCATGGATTAGACCACTAATTCGGCATACCGCGGCATAAACCGTAGTCTGCCGAGGTTAACCAATTGCGCTCTGCTAATCAATTTGCAGTTTCACGAAGTTTGAAGTTTACACAATAAAATAAGTTCTTTTAAAATCCTAAAAAATAGCATGTTACAATGTCGATAAAAACCTCCTGTTTCGCATTTAGAGGGGTGTTATTGTCCAATAGACATATCCTGAGATTTTACATTAGAACCCGCGACGATAACGCATATATTGGGGCCTAATACTCCCCCAAATGATCTCTGGACATGTCTATTGGACAATAACACCCCTCTAAATGCGAAACAGGAGGTGTTTTTCTCCTTATTATTATATGCGTTGCGATCCATTTTTGTCAATTTCTAGTTCCCAAATATTTGCGATTTAGCTCCTTTTTAGGTTTAGATTTTTATGACCCCAAATAATAGTCATTATATAAGAAATAGCCTATAAAACACCGGATTTAAAGTATTTTCTTACCATTCTCATTTAGCAAGACAACATTTCCATCGTGCAAAGTTACTCTCTTGCTTTCTAAATTTAAGAAAACAATTATTTCTCGATATTTCACACTCGCAGTGGCCATTTGCAATGATATAAATATATTCTGAATTTGGACATGGATCTAACCTACACGAGTAAATCACATTTGCACTGACACCTGATTTATTGCATCGAGTAATCATCCTGTTATTTTTTGATAACTTCAAGCATTGTGTTGCCCAGAGGCTAAGGTTAATTAAACGGCAATGACAATCCCTGGCCTCATTGGACCACTGCAACTTGGTGTACCCGGGTCATGGGGTTATATTTGGGTGGGGTATACGTAAAAAATGTTGTTTATTATAAGGTTGGCAAGCAAAACATCCCCATCTAAATTGTTATTTTAAAGTCGCAAAGTCTGAATTTTGGAGTTATTGGTTATTGGGTAGTTACTGGGTATTATTGGGTAATTCGACGCCCCACACTACTGCTATGTCTCAAAACAAAATATTTCAAGGAATCTGATCTCTGTAACAATCTTGTCTGGCACCCAGAATGTTGAAAATCAACAGTGTTCATTGTCTTTAAACTAAATGCTTAAAAACTGGTACGTAGAATCCATCGCGTTCGTAGTCCAATATTGTTGGCCGACGGATCCGACTGATGGGTTGGGGGGGGGGGGGGGCGGCATAAAACGCCCATATTAAGTATGAATAAACGAAAGAATGAAATGTTGTTTAACGTCCTTTTTTCCACGCCCACGGGGCTAATGAAGACGAAGATAGGCTGTGTTTGTGCAATGAAAATTTTTGGCAAGACAACAATTGAAGTCGAACTGTCAAGGGTTTATTTACGTGCACACTGGACACCACCTAGATCGAACACGGGAGCTTCAGGTTAGTGAGCCAGCCCCTATGGACACATAGTAAGCCCAACATGAAACAAACATTTAAACGCACACAGTTTGATCCATCATCAGATCAACCCACTTCTAAACTCTGGTTTGATCTATAACAACCTTGAATAATTCGATATGTTGAAAGTTATGACGCATAACTGTTCTTATGCCTGTTTTCATAGTCACCGTGCAAGGGCTGGCTGAAAAGGTGCAAGCCATGTACAAAGTCGATGGTATCCATTTATTTTTCTACATAGTCCCCTTCGAGGTGTACACACTTTTGCAAAGGGTGTTGTAAGGTCAGAAGAATTTTCTTCAGACACCCTCAAAATGTCGTTCACAGCTGACATGACGTCATCATGACGACTCGTTCCTGTTCATTTTTTGGAAACAGGTGGAAGTCTGACGGGGCTAAATCGGGCCAAAGTATTATCAGAATCTGTTTCAAAACGTCGCAGATTGTCATGGGACGTCAGGAATCCAACACGTTTCTGATCCGCAGTCAAGAACTTTGGCCCCCATATTTCAGAATTTTTTTTTTTCATCCCTAACTTGTTGGCGATAATGTACTCCACCCTCTCACGAGAGATGCCCACAACACTGGCAATATGTCATGTCATGTCATGCACCCTGGTAATGTTTTCATAGTCAGGCCCACAAACTAGGTCATTTCGGGACTAACACATGGGTTCAATTTTATTTCTATAACCCACGAGGTTGGATAGGCGACCCTACTCCTTGTCACGTACAACTGGGGATTCGAAACCACGCCAGTTGACTCAATGACAGACCTTATAACACAGGACGCAAGTGCTAACCATTCGGCCATCCAACCCCCCGAAATTTAACGACACGTTAGCAAGATAACGACCCGTTAGAGTTTAAGGGATCGTTGAATTAACTTAGTTTTGAGCCATCGGCCCCTGGTCAATTTCGTCAAATACATCATTCGTCTTATCCAATCGACGGCCACAATTCCGCCAATAGTGGAATACTACCAAGGAATACTTCCGTGCATTACGCTGGTATACAGGACGGCTATTAATTGTGTTAAACTTTGTGGGATCGGTTCTTACATAGGAAAGACGGATTTTGCAGTCTGCCTTTCGGATTATACCCATTCACCCGTCTGATCACTGACTGTTAGGTTTTAGGTGGAATGAGCAATATTATTTTGATACCTGTTTGCCTATGCGGTGTGCAACACTGTATAAAATATTTGAAGAGCTTAGTTCTGCGCTGGAGTGGAAAGCTATGAATAAACTTTACTGTAGACACACGGTTCATCTAGACGATTTTATTTTATTTGTAGGCGTGTTCGAGAAAATAGTTCATCGGAATTTGTCCTCCTTTTTACAAATGTGTTCAAATATGTGAGTTCCTATTGCTGAAGACAAGAATTTTTACCCTGATCAAATTAATGACCTTTGTAGGTATCGAAATAAGTATTATTGATTCTACAACGTCGATACCACTTGACAAGATTAATAAAACCCATTTACAGCGATCAAAGTGTACCTTACGGGAATTGCAATCTCTAATAGGCTTGCTTAATTTTGCATGCAGTGCCGTTTTTAAGGCATCTTATTAATATAACAATTGGCATCGGGCACCCTTCTCATTACATACGGTTAAATAGGCCAGTCAAAGCAGATATCAATCCTTGGCTTCAGTTTATTTTAATGGTATTACGTTATTCTAATCGAAACATTTTTGTCAAGCGATGCGTTAAAATTGTATACCGACGCAGCAGTTTCTTTGAGTTTTGGCGCCGTTTACAAAAATAAATGGTGCTATGGTAAATTCCAAAATTTTCTAAATTCTTACAATATTACAGTTATAGGATTTTACCCAATTTTTTTGGCATTGCAATTATGGGGTTTTCAAGTCAGCGTCGATCGACAAATAGTAAGCCCAAAAATGAAACAAACATTTAAACGCACACAGCTTGATCCATCATTAGATCAACCCACTTCTAATCTCTAATTTGATCTATAACAACCTTGAATAATTCGATATAAACGGTTTACCAGCAGATTCCTGTCTCGTACTTTATGTAATTTTGACATAAATAATCATAATCAGTATAAAATATAATTAAATGATCAAGTTCCAGTTAGACAACATGTGTTATTTCCTGATTACTTATATCAGCCGATTCCTATCACGAACTTTATGTCGTCGTGACATAAACGATCATAATCTGCATAGCTACACCTGTAATTAAAGACTCAATACCACTCTTGTTGTAATTGAATAATATGTTCCAATCTTTATTCTGGTAAACAAGTTGTACTATTTTACAATATTCCAATTAATTGATGATACAAATTTCATCTTAACACACCTAATTTAAACCAGCGGCTGCCAGGCAGGATACGCCCACATTTTCGAGAGATGGATAGAGAACAAGCTAAAAAGAAAGTGATTTTTCCTACAATCAAGGGCAATAATTCAGGAAATTACAATTCGATATGCGCAAATTTCGAAAGGAACTGAGATCTTTGCGTTATAAACTTACATTTCAAGTTTCAACAAAATCAGATAAAAATTGTGACCTCTATAGGGTCCACAACCTTGATATACCATATTTTTTGGGCTATTTGAGAACGAAGGGCGGCCATTTTGTCTGTCAGTTTTGGGCCGATTTTCACGAAATTCGAACTCAGCCATCCTTAGGGTGTAACGGTGATATTATAATAGGTTTTTTTAAATCGGATAAAAATTATGACTTCTATAGGGTCCACAAGCTAAAAACGGTCCAATATGCGTGAATATCGAGAGGAACCGAGATCTTTGGGTTATAAACTTACATTTTAAGTTTCAACAAAATCGGATAAAAATTGTGACCTCTATAGGGTCCACAACCTTGATATACCATATTTTTACGCTAATTGAGAACGAAGGGCGGCCATGTTGTCTGTCAGTTTTGGGCCGATTTTCACGAAATTCGAACTCAGCCGTCTTTAGGGTGTAGCGGTGATATAATCATACGGTTTTTTAAATCGGATAAAAATTATGACCTCTATAGGGTCCACAAGCTAAAAACGTGATTTTTCCTACAATCAAGGGCCATAATTCAGGAAGTTACGGTCCGATATGCGCGAATATAGAAAGGAACCAAGATCTTTGTGTTATAAATTTACATTTCAAGTTTCAACAAAATCGGATAAAAATTGTGACCTCTATAGGGTCCACAAGCTAAAAACGTGATTTTTCGTACAAACAGGGGCCATAATCCATGAAGTTTTGATCCGATACATGCCAATATCGAAAGCAGCCGAGATCTTTTGGGGATAAACCTATATTTAAAGTTTCGTCAAAATCGGATAAGAATTGTGACCTGTAGAGAGTCCACAAACAATTGTGGACGGACGGACGTCCGGACGGACAGGGGCGACGACAATATACGTCCACATGAAAATGTGGGCGTATAAAAATTGGAAAAAATCAACTAAATGATTTGAAAAGCCTGACGTAAAGCTTTTCAAATGTGACTTGGATTTAAAAATATTTTTGAACCCTCTGGACAAGTAAAATAGGATTTATTTAAAATGGATAATTTACACAACAGGTAGGACACTAACACATCTAGTACTTAGAATAAGGCTATTTTTTATTTTCTGGAAATGTCAAGCCAACAAGATTGTTATTGTCCCTTTAAATGATCAAGTTCCAGTTAGATATGTGTTATTTCCTGATTAGTTATATCACGATTTAATCATGATCCAGGCTGATAGGCAAACGCGACTTTTCTCGATAAATTTATTTTTATATAATTATTTTGTTTGCCATCTTATTTTAACTCTACTTCTGATAATACGGCAGACAGACAATATTTATTGAGATAAGAGAGACGTCCATACGATTAAGAGGTAAGGATTTAAGTACTAAGTGCATCTAAGGGTCTTAAGATAGGGGTGAGGGAAACATTTCTGGTATATTCTAGGACTGTAAGAGATTTTAACGCCTATTCAACATAACTATATTTATCTATTTCTGTTTTCATTCATTGGCATGCTCGCTTACCGTTTTATGTGTGGTAGGAAACACGAGAGTCCCTATGAATTGTTGCGTGTGATCTCACGGCAATTGTTAAAGACAGAGTTGTGACAGATATTTCGACCACCCTTTTTAAAAACCCAAATAATTAGTGCAGAGAAACAATATAGCATCCGTTCATATCCAAATATATAGCAACATTTTATTTACATTCATGTGACTAATCTGCGCTGCGTTATTGGAAGCATGGATAGTCATGAGGCCTGATGGGCGGGTAGGCAGGTTAGGCTCTCAACCTCAGTAAGACAGGAAACCAGCATGTTCCCGACGTTGCTAGATTGCTTTGCTACATTTCTTCCCATTTCCGTACAATCAGAGTTTGTGACCCAAACACACAAATCAAACATGGCGTCCTCGACGGAAACCTTAACATTGAACGAACCTTTTAGCTGGAAAATGCGAGACTAAGTATTCGCGATGATCGAGAAATCTAATAGGCTATCAAGCTGGGTCAGTACCCAATCGAAATTAGTGCCGAAATATGCAGGGTATTACGTGAAGGGCTTGATAACCAGTTAATGCTGCTGGTGGTCGACTGATTGTGACTGGTATCGCGCAATTCTACATTTAGCCCCGTATTAAAATTGCCAGGGGCGCACTGGTTAGCCCTGGATCCTCGGACCAACTGATTTCGTTGGTTCCCCATTACGATGAAGAATACGTGACAACAAGAAAATGAACTATTCACTATTACTGCGCGTCACTCATAGACCTCTTTCTCCTGGCATTGAGGCTATTACATTTTGCAGAGTATACGAAGATGAATTTTAGTTATTTTGAGAAATATAATATGTCAAATTATGTTTTTCCAATCGGGGCTAATGGGTTCCTGCCCCTTGAAGGGCCCTCGGAACAAGTTTGGCGGTCAGAGACCCAGTCCGAACATGTAAATAGATGAGTAGTAACCAGGACTGGATTAACCATTAAAGGGACAATAACACTCTTGCTGGCTTGAAAGCTCCAGAAAATAAATAATATCTCTATCTAAGTACTAGATGTTTAAGTGTCCTACCTGTTGTGTAAATTATCCATTACATCTTATTTTACTTGTCCAGAGGGTTCGAAAATATTTTTAAATCGAAGTTTCATTTGAAAAGGTTTACGTTAGACGTTTCAAACCATTATGTTGAATTTTTCAAAATCTTTAAATAAGGTGTGTTAAGATGAAATTTGTATCATCAATTAATTGAAATATTCTAAAATAGTACAATTTGTTGACCAGAATAAAGATTGGGACATATTATTAAGTTACAACAAGAGTGGTATTGAGCCTTTAAGCAAAATAAACACGTGCTTAGGGCATCAAAGGAAAAGGGGCACCACAGAAATTCTGCTTTGATAGATGACGAATTCGAAATGTTTAATTTAAATATTAATTAAGAACTTTTAATTAGTTTTTCATTGTTTTCTTGTCTTTTCGTACTGTTACTGTTACATGTATAAAACCTCAGAAAAACTTTAACCACGTGCTTGAGGGATGGTTTATTGTTTACATTTCGGTTTGTATACTATATGGGGGCACCAAAATCTCGTAAGTGCTCATAGGTCTTAATTCGGTACTGGTAGTAACTGTTCTTGTTTATCATTTAAACAACTTTTCCCTGGACCAAAATGTGTCGGAGATTGGCATCAATGTCTGGATAAAACGAAGCGGGCTAATTTGAATGATTTTATGAATTTTAGGAATCCAACATCTAATCCGTGTCCACCAGGCTCGATTTAAGCGGGTTGCTGATCGGGCTGCAGTCTGGGGCCCTAATGTAAAATGGACCGCTAAATTAGTTCTAAAAATGAAATACAAAATTTTTGTGTGTTTGACGGACAATGACCAGAAAATGCCCCCTTTTCACTGTGGATGCAAGGGCCCCAGTAACATTATTAGCCAAGTGCCCCACGCAAGCTTAATCCGACCTTCATTTCCTGCTATTCCTCCATTATTAGTGAACAGAATTTTTTCGTAGGTCGTTTAGGTCATGATTGTTCAGATCTTCGGGTCTTAATAATATTATAGTAACCCCTCATCCAAGTGTCAATGTATGGCATGTCATGGCTCAGATACGTCAATCGATTCTAGCATGTGCCACAGAACCACAAATTACCCGGCGCTTCCCGTCTAAAGTACCCTAAGATTGGTCTACTAGTCCCAACCTCCCCACCCTAAGAGGCCCCAGCACGCCTCTGGTATAGCTGGAACAGATTTTAACACATAATTACATTGCCGTTTTTTTAAGACAATACATCTGTTAGTCGGATTCGGTTTGTTACATAATTGCCATCCGTCGGCTTTTTGGGTAGAAATCATGGAATAAGCTTTATTTTGTAGGTTTTGATGTTTGATTACAAAAAAAAACAATGTTGACATTTTTTCTGAGTAGGTCTTCATAGTATGGGAGGCCATTATTTGAGGGTAGCCATTTTGTGATAATATTCCAACTTATTTTATTGTTTTCACCTTATTTATAATGTTATCGACGTATCAACTGTGATTTGGCAATGTATTAATATTGGCAGGGTTCATGACTATACTTCAGATTGTTTTCCATCATTTCAGTATGATACTTCCAAGATGGCTACCATTTTTGGCGGGAAAATCGGACGCTGTGCTGATTTCGATTAAGTAGTAGTGCTTGGTGTCAATACATATGTTTTCGGGGCCACATATTCCATTCCTGACATTTACAACCTTGTAAAATGATCACATGTTCATATACTTAGCATATTACCAAGATGGCGGGAATTTTTGGCGGGAAAATAAGACGATGTGCTGATATTGATTAAGTAGTCGTCGTTGGTGTCAATATATATGTTTTCAGAGGCACAGAATCCATTTCGGTCAGTAACAACTGTGTAAAATGATTATTTTGCACATTTACACTATGGCGGCCATTTTTGTGGGAAGATGGAACGATGTGCGGATATTGATTAAGTAGTCGTCTATGGTACCAGGATATATTTTTTGGGGAGCAGATTCCATTTTTGCCGTTTACAACTGTGTAAAATTATCACATGTTCACATATTTAGCATATTTCCAATATAGCTTTCATGTCGGGCGTCAAAATGGGACGATGTGCTGATTTTGATTACGTAGTCGCGTTTTTGTGTCAATATTTGTTTTTCGGGGGCGCAGATTCTATTTCTGCCATTTACAACTGCGTGAAATGGTGGTATGTTCCCACATTCAGCATACTTTTGTTTGTGGCAGGACGTTTTCTAAACACATTACTGTAAAGGTTTCTGAATCCAATTCTGCTATGTATAAGCTTGTAGCATGTTCCTGGAAGCCTGTGCCGAGTTTACCCATTGATTATATTATTCAACAATGAAGTAGTTGAACTCCAGCGCAATATCATTCCACATATTCGTTCTACATTCATCTTGGATGTCAGTTGATACCATAATCTATGCTATGAGGGCTTCTTGGCAAGTATTTTATTTACAGCCACGTCCCCACCACTATCATCCACGTTGCTGCCAGGCTGGAACGAAGCTCCTGGCCATATGCTTGCTACGCTGTTACGACCTGTATGTATATATAGGGAAGATACTGAGCCTCGTCCGTCAGCTCCAGTCTCGCACCCAAAGAGGAAACCTCAAGAAAACTATGAAATGTTCTTGGTTGCTTGGTTATTGGTTGTTTTCTGCTTTGAAAGTGAATGAGGACGGGTGAGCATGGCACAGTCTCTATAGGCGTGGCGAGAGACCGCCTTACGCCTGGTAGGCACATCACTGGAGTGTGGTGAGAAAGTATCCCGGTCTGACTGGTAACCGCGAGATCATGGTGGGAACACTTTTCGCGCAGCCAGATCCTCGCCATGAGCGTAGAAAGATCTTGTAGTAAGCGCTTGGTGTGGTCGTTGCAGGCGCAAGATGGGCACATGGCGTAAACACGACGCTGCCGCTATGCTCTTTTTGCCTTCATGCCAGGAATAGGCTTTACTTTCCCAGGAAAATCGATGATAAATAAATGCTAATAATGTGTTTAGAAAACGTTCCCCCATCTTGGAAATATGCTAAATTGGTGAACATACGACCATTTTACGTAGTTGTATATGACAGAAATCGAATCTGCCTTCCCGGAAACATATATATTGTCACCAAAGACAACTACTTAATCGAAATCAACCCATCGTCCGATTTTCCCACCACAAATGGCAGCAATATTGGAAATATACTAAATATGTGAACATGTGATCATTTTACAAGGTTGTAAATGTCAGAAATTGATTCTGTGCCCCATAAACATATATATTGACACCAAACACTACCACTTAATCAAAATCTGCACATCGTCTCATTTTCCCGCCCAAAATGCCCGCCATCTTGGTAATATGCTAAGAATATGAACATGTGATCATTTTACAAGGTTGTAAATGTCAGGAATGGGATTTGTGACCCCGAAAACATAGATATTGACACCAAACACTACTACTTAATCGAAATCAGCCCATCGACCGATTTTCCCGCTTAAAATGGGCGCCATCTTGGAAATATCATCATCAAATGATGGAAAACAATCTGAAGTATAGTCATGAACCCTGCCAATATTAATACATTGCCAAATCACAGTTGATATGTCGATAACATTATAAATAAGGTAAACATAAAAAATAATTTGGAATATTATCACAAAATGGCTACCCTCAAATAATGGCCTGCCATACTGTGAAGACCTACTCAAAAAAAATGTCAACATTGTTTTTTTGTAATCAAACATCAAAACCTACAAAATAAAGCTTATTCCACGATTTCTACCCGAAAAGCCGACGGATTTACATTGACTATCGGACTATGTAATGGGTTGATGCATATACATGTATAGTACACGTCATGCTATTATTTGTTGGGGTTTTTATTATAAATTTTATAAATGAAGCATTCTGCATTATAAGTCATGGGGAATTCGAATTAGTTTTTTGGAAATATAGATATTATACATATCAACAATAAATTTTTTACTGTATTACAGAATGAAGTACACACCGATAGCAATCCTAGCCGCCTTGATTCTTCTGGTTAAAACTAATGAAGCTTTCATGTTCGGCAGTGGAGTTGTACCTATTGCAAACCCGAACCGGAACCCACCCCCAATGATCGCAGAAACGACAACAGTGCCTACAACTACAGGTAATCGGGCATGTGGGCGTATTATGACGTCACCCGTGCCCGTCCGATTTTGACGAAACTTGAAATATAGGTCTATCTCAGACCATAACTTTCTGAATTATGGCCCCTGATTGTACGAAAAATCGCGTTTGTTTTTAGCTTTAGTTTTAGATGTCACAATTTTCATCTGATTTTGATGAAACTTGAAATGCATGTTTATAACCCAACGATGCATACCGGATCGTAACTTCCAGAATTATGGCCACTGATTGTACGAAAAATCGCGTTTTTAGCTTGTGGCCCCTCTTAGAGGTCACAATTTTTATCCAATTTTAAAAAAACGTTTAAATTCACCGTTACACCCTAATGACCGCTCTTCGTATGCAAATTAGATAAAAGTATGTAATACGAAGGTTGTGGACCCACTAGAGGTCACAATTCTTATCCGATTTTGATGAAACTTAAAATGTCTTATTATAATCCAAAGATCTTGGTTCCTTTCAATATTTGCGCATATCGGACCGTATCTTTATATCCCAACGATCGCAGTCCCTTTCTATATCTGGGAATTTGTTTTTAGCTTCACAAAATGTGGGCGTATATTGCCTGGCAAGAACTTGTATGAGTGTGGAATGAAATAACACTAAATAATTCTTAAAGTGTGTAGGCCTAGCGTATTATTATATAAGATGGCCATCAGTCTGATCATCATATTCAGGGTTTTGGATGATCGGTTGACGATACCGTCTATGTGTGGCTTCCATGTTAGCCAAGAGTTGAAGGTCATTCAAAGGAACCTTGTCTCTGGTTTAAATTCTAGTTTTGTGCCGTTGAGTTTTAACTAATTTTTTCTCTTTCTGTCGGTCGGGTGGAATAGCATTGCTGCTGTTTTCTCTTCCGATATTTTGAATATGCGGTTATTTGCCCATTCAGAGGTTTGGTGTAGAGAGTCCACAACCTTGATATACCATATTTTTACACTATTTGCGTACAAGGCGATGCCATATTGTCCGGCAGTTTTAGTCCCATTTTCACGAAATTCGAATTAAACCAACATTAAGGTGTAACGTTTTTTTTTTTTAAATCGGATGAGAATGTGATCTCTAGAGTGACCACAAGGGGCCATAATCCACGAAGTTACGGTCCGATACATGCCAATATCGAAAGGAACATAGTTCTTTTGGAGATAAACCTATATTTCAAGTTTCGTCAAAACCTGGTAAGAATTGTGACCTGTAGAGTGTTCACAAACAAATTGTATACGGATAGACGAATTTTATGTTTGTGCAAATGTAATTGTTCTTACTCTGATTTTTTTTTTAAAATCGGATAAGAATTGTGATCCCTAGAGTGTCCACAAGCTACAAAATTGATTTTTCGTAAACCCAGGGGCCATATTTCGCGAAGTTACGGTCCGATACATGCAAATATCGAAAGGAACATAGTTCTTTTGGAGATAAACCTATATTTCAAGTTTTGTCAAAATCTGATAAGAATTGTGACCTGAAGAGTGTCCACAAACAAATTGTATACGGATAGACGGATTTTATGTTTGTGCAAATGTAATAGTTCTTACTCTGAATTGTGTTAATATGTTGTATTTTGAGAACAATCAGTGATCAATTAAAAAGAATCGACGGTCTTATATTTTATGGAAAATATAACCATAACGGTTGAAGATTTTATGTTTGTGCAAATGTAATTACGTCCTTATTCTGAATTGTGTTAATAATATCTTGTATTTTGAGTACAATCGGCGCTGGTCGGTGGACAATCAAAATTTATCGGTCATCGGCGGTGAAAAGACACACCCGTTTTTGACACCCTAGGCCCTAGGGATATCGCAACCCACTGTATGTAGGACAGTCTGGAGGGTGGCAAATGACCTTAAACAGATATCAAACTTCATCATAAATTTGAGATCATTTTAGAATTCGATAACGTAGGTGTGCATAATTTGTCTGCAAGTAGTTATTTATAATCAGCTATGTGGTTTTGACGTTAGCAAACACAATACTTGTAATGCTTTACCGGTACCTGTTTTTTTTCTTTTTTATATATATATAGAAGAAACAGCCAGCACTATGACTAGTTCAAACCCAAAAGTCAGTGGAGGTAGGTTATAATGAATTGTTCCTGTGTACACATTAGCGTGCACATAAGCAAAAACCTTTGAAAGTGGGAACTCGGTGGGATTGTGGGATTTTCAAACTACAGCTCCTATTACAACGGAAATAACTAGTACCAGCACTAGCCGTCTTCTGAGGTTTAGATGCGTAAACGCTTTGGTTTAAATAGTAGGTTAAGTGTTGTCATAGAATTAATTTAATAAAATTTACGTAGCGTTTCTTAACCAAACAAACAATTTATTGGAGACATGATTTGCAAGTATGCCAACTGTGAGGCCATCTGATTGGTTTTTTTTTTTAAAATCAAATTAAAATTCCAACCAGTTATGCCCATCTGATGCTAGTCTAGATACTTAATAGGAAAGCGAATGCTCAAATGTTGAACTAACGTTGATGGACTAAGTGCCCTAAAGCTCGGTTCATACTACATCCGTATTCATAAACGTATCCGCATCCGTATCCGTGAGCCGAGCTTTAGCCAATCAGCGAATACTTTCCCCTTATTACATCATCTCCCCAAATAGAAACTCAATCTCTGACAGACAATTCAGTCTTGAAATCCGGACGTTTTCGCGTTTTCTATTTGAACAGCAAAACGCGGATGCGGGTGCGGATACGTTTATGGATACGGATGTAGTATGAACCGAGCTTTAACTGGAGCACCTGTGTGTTAAACCTCTTTCTTAATCAGTGCTTTTCTGCCATCAATCCTAGCAACACGCTGACAATACCGTGTAAAAGGTATAAAAAGTGTTTATTCCAAAGCGCGATATCTTAGGATAGTGTTGTGTTTTATTTGCCTTGGTTCATGCCAAGAACGTTACAGTCGAGGATGGAGCATTTCAAACCATTAAGTTTTTATATTCTGTGCCCCAATCTGATTAAAATACAGATCTATATTTCGTTTCGTTTTTTTATACTTTCGATGGCCTTCTTTTTTTATTTATTTTGAAGCCGTTAGATATTCGTGTTTATTTGTGATTTGTTCGATTAGTTCAACAGTTTCCACTAGAAGAGTTTGGCCCGAATGGTCATCAGGAAGTCTGAAAATTGAAATACATAATACATTTTATTGTTTCAGTGTTGTTTAAATTGTGTTCTTCCGACTATGATAGTGTGATTAATATTATTAATAAATTAAGGGAGGAGACTACATGAAACTCATTAGGCTGGCTACCTGGACCAAGGACGGGTTAAATTTTCGCCATTTTTTCAACAATGTATTGAAAATCGGTTATTATAAGCATTGGTGTTTGCTGCCATGAATTAAAAATGCGGATATTGTTAGGCTAGCCGCTAGGCCTATCCCTAGTCTAGGCCTAGCATGGCAGGCGCCCTGCACTGATATTAGAAGTTCGTTAGCTGCGAGAACATATAAATCTGAAACGTTGAGATAATCTGATGTGTGAGACATTAATATGATAGATTGAACAAGTAAATTAGATTATTCAGCGAAAACAGCATACCTTTTTCTTTTCAGTGACATTTTAGGCTCCGACATTTTATCCTTACTGATCGTGTGATCTGATTGAATTTCACGGGGAAAATCAAACCCAAAACACGGTCAACCAAAGAACTCTGAATGCGCGGATCGCTTATATCAAAGATCTCCAAAGATCTGACCGATTGTAGTAAAAGGTCGTGCCAGAGATCGTACCAATGGCTTTTGACCCTATGGAGCCAAACATTGATTAATCAATCAGTGCTGACGTTTCTAGTGGTTTACACACAGTTCCGTGCATCGCACGCCAAGAAGTCGCCGTAACAGATGGTTTCATTGACTTATCCCTCACGCCATCCAGAACGCAGGTTATATAACAACTCTTCCAGCTAAATCTATTTGTTAAGGCCAGCTCAATTTTTGTCAAGGGCGTTATTGAGATTTAAATAATTTTAAGGCGCGTGGTTGTTGGTGAGATTGTAGGTTAGGGTAAGCATTGGGGCTAGGTGCAGGGTTAGGTTTAAGAATTTGGGGGAGAGGTTAAGTCTCTACATAAGCACTGACCTAGGATGATGAAAAATTAGTTCGTGATATTTCCTAGTTTTATTAAAAGTACATACAATACATTAGATTTATATACAAAGATGATTTCACTGTTTTTTGGTGTTGGTGGCGCTGATGGTTTTCCTTGGATGGTGCTTCTGGTATTCTGGTATTTTTGTTTCTGAAGAAAAAAGAATAAATTTGAGACCCTCGGGGGATAGCCACATTAGTGTGTTTCCAACTACGAATTGGATTTTCTAAAAATGTGTTTGTTCCACATAACCGGGTTAGGACTAGGGATTCTTATATCTACTTGATTTTAATTATTAACGGTTATGTTCGAGACCGGTCTTATTTAAACTAATTTACTCTGCACTAGGATGTTGTTCAGATTTTTATTTTTAAAATATGCAATTATAAGTTTCTGTGTGAAGATTTTCGGGTGATTTTCTTGGAGATCAGTATAGTGTTTTCTGATGATTTTGGATGCACTTGCTGTTGATGCGCTAAATGGAACTACAAAAGGGGCTATTGCGCTAGCCGTATGAATATTCAAACCTAGGGGGCTGTTGTTTTCAAATTGTCAATCCAGAATTTTTCTCTTGTTAGCCTAAACGTTTTAATTCCTTCTGTAGTTTCAAAATCGCTCTTGGTCTTTTCTATTGGCGTAACAATGAGATCATAAATGTCATGATTGGGTTGGTTGAAATGAATTGAGACCGGTTTGTCTTTTTTGGTGACTATGTCTGACCGGTGACCGTTAATTCTTTCCCTAAGTGCATCCCGAGTCTCCCCTACGTATTGTTTGTCACATTGTCTACATGAAATTAGATAAATTATGTTTGAATTACTGCATGAAAGTTGGTCTAATATTGGGAATTGTGTGCCAGATGTTTTGTTATGGAAATAGTCGGATATGTTTATTATTTTGCATGTTTGACATCTCGGATGGCAACAAGTTTTGGTTTTAACTGCTGATTGCGTATTATTTGTTACTTTGGCGGCAAGTTCACCTAGAGTGTTGTTTTTTTATGCGTCGTTGATAGCGTTTGGAGTATCCCATTTCTCTTAGTTTGCTAAATACCAGCGTACATGCTGACTCAACATCGGTCTTCTGAGTGCATATCCTATGAAAACGGAGAATCTGAGATTTTATGATGCCCGAGAAGGTATGTTTCGGGTGAAAGGAGCTCTTGAACAATAATTGATGTGTATCGGTTTCTTTGAAAAATACTTTAGTTTCCAGTTGGCCTATGAATTTGGTGTTGCTACTTTTAAAGACGGTGGTGTCAAGGGAATATATGCTGTTATGACTTACATTTGCGGTTAGATGGATGATGATTGTTCAGAATGTTGAAAAACGTCCAAAATTCGTCTAGCGTGTACGTCCAGACTATGAAAACGTCATCTAGAAAACGTCCATAGAAATCTGGTTTTAATGGGCAGAGCGGCAGAACTTCCCTTTCCCACTCCGCCATGAAGAGATTTGCATAGCTCGGGGCAAATCGTTTTCCCATCGCAGTTCCGGAAGACTGGAGGTATACTTGGTCGTTGAAAGCGAGGTCATTCCTCCTCAGACAAATGTCGAGTAGTTTGAGGATTTCTTCGTCCGGCCTAGATGCTTGTGGGTTCCTAAGAAAAGTTGTCCTAACTGCTTCAATGCCTGTGTTATTATCGATGTTCGTGTACATGCTCTGTACGTCGATGGATATTAAAATGGTGTGTTCAGGGACTCCTAACTGTTTGATTTTGTGAATAAATCGTTAGTGTCTTTTAGATAGGATGGGTGTTGGCATGCTAGGGGTAATAAGAAATGGTCTATATATTGTGATACGTTATATGATTCGCTGCCAGAGTCTGATATTATTGGGCGTCCCTTGGGCAATTTATTAGGTATAAACCATTCCGTTTCTGGATTTTTATGTATTTTTGGTAGCGTATAGAGATGTCAGATTTAGCGGATAGATAATCATACTGTTTTGCTGTTATGTATTCCTTGTCCTGAAATTCATGTAAGATGTTGTTTATTAAGGTTGCAGTGTCCTTAAAGATGGGTTGGTCTAATTTAGTGTATGTTTAGGATTATTTAATTGTTTTTCTGCCTCAGAGATATAGTCTTCGCGATTCATTATAACACAACACGAACCTTTGTCGCCTTTCCTAATTGTTATGTTTTTGTCTTTTTTGAGGGTGTTTAATGCTGTTTTTGTTTCTCGGTTGAGATGTGGTTTTTGTGATAGTGGTTGAAGGGATGATATTTCTGTGTTCATTTAGTCGAAAGTTTTTAGAATGGCTGGTGATAATGATTTTTTAGGTGGTTTCCATGTGGATTTTTCTGTGAATAATTTTTTTACCTCTGTCGAGTTTGTTCCTAACAAAATAAGTCAACGAAAGTGTTCTTTGTAAGCGATCGGTTGCCTGGGTGATGGTGTCTATGGATGTTATTGTGGGGGTTGGGATGAATTTAAGGCCTTTATCAAGAATGTTCATTTCTAGGGGGCTGAGAAGTCTTTCGCTCAAATTGACAACTGTCTGTCCTAAAGACGGCTTCTTATTCCTTTTCCCTAATCCTAGTTTAAATTCCTCATCCAGCAGTTGATGATCTCTCTGGCCGTGTCTGGGCTCCAGTGGATGGCGTCGTTACCTTTCAGTTCTATTTTGCTCTTGAAGGTTAGTAATGTGGTGGCGTTTGGTGAAGGTGCTGTGGAGATCAATTGGTTGTAGCTGGTGATGTTTTGGTAGGCGATCTGATTTTCTTGTCGGGGTCGGGAAGAAGTGGGGATCTGTGTGGCGAAGAGCTTGGTTGTTGGGAAAGCTGCTCTGGTCACCTTGAGTAGATCTAGCATCTGTTCGTGTATCCTTGGTCCACTTTCCTCCCTGATGTTGAGCCCGGCGTGTATCACTAATTCCTCTGGTGCAGGACCCATGTAGTTCTGGAGGATCTGTTTAATGTGGCTGATCTTGGCTCCAGAATAGCAATGGATCTCCCAGTCCCCGAGGAAGGATACAATCCTAGCCAGGTTAGAGGATCCAATAACCAGGGCCTTTGCCATGACGGGTGGTAGGTACCATAAATCCTTCTCGTCTTTACCTTTGTAGCTGTGAGGTCTCTTTAGGGATAGGTTGAGTGATCGCCCACATCTGACGGAAGATCTGGTGGCGATTCTAGGATTAGGAATGATTGGCGATCTAGGGGACAGACAGTCGACAAGCGCGTTTAGTGGCGATATAGATCCCGAGGAAGTAGGTGAGCCAGACACAACCCGGGGCGAACTGGTTGATCTAGCTGCACGCTTCGAGGGAGTGTTAATGCAAGTGCCTTCTCCAGGGGATAATTTTCTCTTGTTGGGTGTGTATCGTTTTGGTGTGTCCCGGAGAAGGTTGTGTGTAATGTGCACTGCATTGGTGATGGGGGAGGGTGCGTGACAGTTTTAGAGACCGTGGACAGTAGGCGATGGAACTCTGTCTTCACACTATCCTGAAGTAGCTTGCCGTGGGACTTCTTGGCCCATGCTAGGGCGTGGCTAGAGTACTCTTGTACAGCATCTTTGGTAAAGTGCCGTGACTTCTAGTACTCCAGTTTCTCCGCTAGCATGGCTCGGTAGTGTGTCGACAGGGATGGGGCGACGTCCTTGGCCCATTTCAAGTTCAATGTCTCAATGGTAGTGGCTATGGTAGGCGTCTTCATGGTTGGCTTCACGAACTTATTCAGGTCTTGGATCTTCCAAGTGAAACTTCTGGTTGATGTTCCATTCTCCTGGCTCTCCATAATGGTCAAGTGGTGGAGGCATTGGAGGACCTGAAAGAAGGCTTTCACGACACCTGCATTATCTGGAGGTGGTTGGCGCTGGTTTGGTTTACATCTTGTGACCTATGACGAAACATTGAGCTGGCTTTTAATTTAGAGCTAACCCAACTCTTCCAGATCCTAGTTTAGTACAGACAAATAAAACGAAGTTTTGAACTATAAAAAACGAAACGAAATAGGATCTGTGTTTTAATCAGATTGTCTTTACCCTTATATTGAATATAAAAAACCCACAATAAACCGAACGGTTGGATTAATATAAAACAAACTTCAATTAGTAATGTCTTGATGTATTTTCTACAGGCCTACTGGATCTGAAATTGCTAGATCAACTCCGTCTTTGCCTTTTTTGTGGTAAGTCAATCTATTTATAAAGAGGAGATATCAAATTTAAACAAACACGTGACTGACAGAAGGTGAATGAAATCACGACTAAAAGTAATTTTAATTAATAGGAGTAGCATAGGCATACGAGCCGGGGGAGGGGTTGGGGGCTGCAGATACCCCCTCCCCCACCCCGGAGTCCCGACCTCTCCCCCATCGAGCATGTCTGGGACATGCTTGGACAGAGGTTACGTCAACGTCAACAACGTCCTGCCAATGTCCAAGAACTTGCTGCTGCCTTGCAACAGGAATGGGACAATCTGGACCAAAATGACCTTAGACGTCCCATTAGGAGTATGCCACGTCGGATCAATGCTTGTTTGGCAAACAGAGGAGGATTTACCCGTTACTGACTTGGTTGTGATGCTGTGGTAACTTTGCTGTTTGACCCCGGGTATCATTTTACCCTTATAATGGTCAGTCTGTGCCTTACTTAGTCTAACGATCATTTGGAATAAATCGATGAATGTGAACTTCATTTCATTTTGTCATTTGTTTCTTCGTCAGTTTCATTAGGTGACTTTAATAACACTTAAAAATCAAATATCCCCTACTTTTTTTGAATAGTATATTTTATGGAAAATATAACCATAACGGTTGAAGATTTTATGTTTGTGCAAATGTAATTACGTCCTTATTCTGAATTGTGTTAATAATATCTTGTATTTTGAGTACAATCGGCGCTGGTCGGTGGACAATCAAAATTTATCGGTCATCGGCGGTGAAAAGACACACCCGTTTTTGACACCCTAGGCCCTAGGGATATCGCAACCCACCGTATGTAGGACAGTCTGGAGGGTGGCAAATGACCTTAAACAGATATCAAACTTCATCATAAATTTGAGATCATTTTAGAATTCGATAACGTAGGTGTGCATAATTTGTCTGCAAGTAGTTATTTATAATCAGCTATGTGGTTTTGACGTTAGCAAACACAATACTTGTAATGCTTTACCGGTACCTGTTTTTTTTCTTTTTTATATATATATATATAGAAGAAACAGCCAGCACTCCTATGACTATTCCAAACAAAAAAAAGAGTGGAGGTAGGTTATAATGAATTGTTCCTGTGTACACATTAGCGTGCACATAAGCAAAAACCTTTGAAAGTGGGAACTCGGTGGGATTGTGGGATTTTCAAACTACAGCTCCTATTACAACGGAAATAACTAGTACCAGCACTAGCCGTCTTCTGAGGTTTAGATGCGTAAACGCTTTGGTTTAAATAGTAGGTTAAGTGTTGTCATAGAATTAATTTAATAAAATTTACGTAGCGTTTCTTAACCAAACAAACAATTTATTGGAGACATGATTTGCAAGTATGCCAACTGTGAGGCCATCTGATTGGTTTTTTTTTTTTAAAATCAAATTAAAATTCCAACCAGTTATGCCCATCTGATGCTAGTCTAGATACTTAATAGGAAAGCGAATGCTCGAATGTTGAACTAACGTTGATGGACTAAGTGCCCTAAAGCTCGGTTCATACTACATCCGTATTCATAAACGTATCCGCATCCGTATCCGTGAGCCGAGCTTTAGCCAATCAGCGAATACTTTCCCCTTATTACATCATCTCCCCAAATAGAAACTCAATCTCTGACAGACAATTCAGTTTAGAAATCCGGACGTTTTTGCGTTTTCTATTTGAACAGCAAAACGCGGATGCGGGTGCGGATACGTTTATGGATACGGATGTAGTATGAACCGAGCTTTAACTGGAGCACCTATGTGTTTAACCTCTTTCTTAATCAGTGCTTTTCTGCCATCAATCCTAGCAACACGCTGACAATACCGTGTAAAAGGTATAAAAAGTGTTTATTCCAAAGCGCGATATCTTAGGATAGTGTTGTGTTTTATTTGCCTTGTTTCATGCCAAGAACGTTACAGTCGAGGATGGAGCATTTCAAACCATTAAGTTTTTATATTCTGTGCCCCAATCTGATTAAAAAACAGATCTATATTTCGTTTCGTTTTTTTATACTTTCGATGGCCTTCTTTTTTTATTTATTTTGAAGCCGTTAGATATTCGTGTTTATTTGTGATTTGTTCGATTAGTTCAACAGTTTCCACTAGAAGAGTTTGGCCCGAATGGTCATCAGGAAGTCTGAAAATTGAAATACATAATACATTTTATTGTTTCAGTGTTGTTTAAATTGTGTTCTTACGACTATGATAGTGTGATTAATATTATTAATAAATTAAGGGAGGAGACTACATGAAACTCATTAGGCTAGCTACCTGGACCAAGGACGGGTTAAATTTTCGCCATTTTTTCAACAATGTATTGAAAATCGGTTATTATAAGCATTGGTGTTTGCTGCCATGAATTAAAAATGCGGATATTGTTAGGCTAGCCGCTAGGCCTATCCCTAGTCTAGGCCTAGCATGGCAGGCGCCCTGCACTGATATTAGAAGTTCGTTAGCTGCGAGAACATATAAATCTGAAACGTTGAGATAATCTGATGTGTGAGACATTAATATGATAGATTGAACAAGTAAATTAGATTATTCAGCGAAAACAGCATACCTTTTTCTTTTCAGTGACATTTTAGGCTCCGACATTTTATCCTTACTGATCGTGTGATCTGATTGAATTTCACGGGGAAAATCAAACCAAAGACTCGGTCAACCAAAGAACTCTGAATGCACGGGTCGCTTATATCAAGGTAAAGAAATGTGCAGGACCGTCTCCATAGCGTTCTCCGAAGATCTGACCGATTGTAGTAAAAGGGCGTGCCAGAGGTCGTACCAACGGCTTTTAACCCTATGACAAACATTGATTAATCAATCAGCGCTGACGTTTCTAGTAGTTTACACACAGTTCCGTGCATCAAACACCAAGAAGTCGCCGTAACAGATGGTTTCATTGACTAATCCCTCACGCCATCCAGAACGCAGGTTATAGAACAACTCTTCAAGCTAAATCTATTTGTTAAGGCCAGCTCAATTTTTGTCAAAGTCGTTATTGAGATTTAAATAATTTTAAGGCGCGTGGTTGTTGGTGAGATTGTAGGTTAGGGTAAGCATTGGGGCTATTTGTTAAGGCCAGCTCAATGTTTTTCAAGGTCGTTATTGAGATTTAAATAATTTTAGGGCGCGTAATTGTTGGCGAGATTGTAGGTTAGATTTAAGAATTTGGGGGAGAGGATAAGTCTCCACATAAGCACTGACCTAGGGTGATGAAAATTTGGTTCGTGATACTTCCTAGTTTTATTAAAAATACATGCAATACATTAGGTTTATGTACAAATTTGATTTCGCTGGGTTTTTTTGGTGGCGCTGATGGTCTCCCTTCGATGTCGCTTCTGGTATTCTGATGTTTTGGTTTCTGAAGAATAAAGAAAAAATTTGACGCTCTCGGGTGAGAGCCACATAAGTATGTTTCCTATTAAGGGTTATTTAGTTTAATTTACTGTGCACTAGGATGTCATTCAGATTCTTATTTTTAGAATATGCAAATATAAGTTTCTGCGTAAAAATTTTCGGGTGATTTTCTTGGAGATCAGTATAGTGTTTACGAATGATTTTGGATGCACTTGCTACTGTTGCACTAAATGGGACTACAAAAGGGGCTATTGCGCTAGCCGTATGAATATTCAAACCTGGGGGGGGGGGGGGCTTTTGTTTTCAATTTATCAATCCAAAATGTTTCTCTTGTTAGACTAAACGTTTTAATATCTGCTGTAGTTTCAAAATCGCTCTTAACCTTTTCTATTGGCGTGACAATGAGATCAGAGACCGGTTTGTCTTTTTGGGTGACTATATCTGACCGGTGACCGTTGATTCTTTCCCGGAGTGCATTATTGTTTGTCACATTGTCTACATGAAATTAGATAAATTATGTTTGAATTACTGCATGAAAGTTGATCTAATATTGGGAATTTTGTGCCAGATGTTTTGTTATGGAAATGGTCGGATATGTTTATGATTTTGCATGTTTGACATCTTGGGTGGCCACAAGTTTTGGTTTTAACTGCTAATTGCATATTTTTTGTTTCTTTGGCGGCAAGTTCAGCTAGAGTGTTATTTTTTATACGTCTGAGATATCGTTTGGAGTATCCCCTTTCCCTTAGTTTGCTAAATACCAATGTACATGTTGACTCAAAGTCGGTCTTCTGAGTACATATCCTATGAAAACGGAGAATCTGAGATTTTATGATGCCAGAGAACGTATGTTTTGAGTGAAAGGAGCTTTTGAACAATAATTGATGTGTGTCGGTTTCTTTGAAAAATACTTTAGTTTCCAATTGGCCTGAGATTTCGGTGTTGCTACTTTCAAAAACGGTAGTATCCAGGAAATCTATGTTGTTATGACTTACATTTGCGGTTAACTTGACAGATGGATGATGATTGTTCAGGATGTTGAAAAAAGCCCAAAATTCGTCTAGTGTGTACGTCCAGACTATGAAAACGTCATCTAAAAACCGCCCATAGAAATCTGGTTTTAATGGACAGAGTGGCAGAACTTTCCTTTCCCACTCCGCCATGAAGAGATTTGCATAACTCGGGGCAAATCGTTTTCCCATCGCAGTTCCGGAAGACTGAAGGTATACTTGGTCGTTAAAAGCGAAGTCATTCCTCCTCAGACAAATGTCAAGTAATTTGGGGATTTCTTCGTCCGGCCTTGATGCTTGCGGGTTCCTAAGAAATGCTTTCCTAACTGCTCCAACTCCTGTGGTATTATCGATGTTCGTTTACATGCTCTGTAAGTCAATGGATATTAATATGGTGTGCTCGGGTACTCTTAACTGTTTAATTTTGTGAATGAAATCGTAAGTGTCTTTATGGTATGATGGGTGTTGGCATGCTAGGGGTAATAAGATATGATCTATATATACTCAGCCAAATTAAAAACTTGACACTGATGAATTTCAACAAATTTTTTTTTCTGGTAAGTCAAATAAATTTTAAAGTGTTTCTAACGATAGTAAGTAGTAAGAAGCCTTTAATTTCATAAAATTGTAAAGTCACGTGGATCACGTGACTTTTGAGCATATAAAGATGAAAAACCTGAAAAACACGTGCAAACACAAACTCGTGAGGTCAATCGATGCAAGTTTGCTTAAAATGAACACGCACACGTAACTTGAACTGGAAAAACAAATTAAAATATAGAACGTCGAGGTGCTATAGTTAGGCTCTATGCTGGTCAGTCTGTGGTCACTGTTGCAAGAGCCTTTAATTGTTCACGCCAGACGGGGATCACGTGGCTAAGTGGGTAAGACGCTAGCTCGCTAGCCTGGAGGTCGGGTGTTCGATCCCTGCATTGGCCGAGAAAGTTCATCCAGATTTTCCGGCGTGGTTCTCCCTTGTCAGTGATGCAGGACGGAGGGGCTGACAAGGAAAGCTGTCTAGTCGTTCAGATGGGACGAAAAACCGAGGTCCCGTGTACACATTGGCGTGCATATAAAAGATCCCTTGGCAGTTGGAATTCGATATAAGAGTAGGCCGTAGTGCCGCTGTCCGGCCAAAATTTCCCTCATAGCACACTGTATGGCGTATGCCCGTCTTCATTAGCCCAGGTTAGGAGCAGAACAGTAGGACGTTAAACCCCATTTCATTTCATTTTGTTCACGCCAGACAATAATTAATCTTAGAATGAGAGTGCTTCAAACTGGAACTATTGCCGACCGCCCAAGGGCGGGAGCGCTACGTGTTACGTCACTCTAGGAAGATCAAACAATACGATTACGTCATCTTAGAAACAGATTTGTCACTGCAACCTCCACAAGTAAAGAGATGTTTGGTGGAAGGGTAACTGCACAAACTGTTCGAAATCGCTTGCCGGCTGCTGGTCTTCGAGCTCGGAGGCCCTATAATGGACCAATATTGACACCTCTTCATCGCCGTAACCGACTTGTGTGGGCCACAAGACACATAAGATTTACTCAAAGACAGTGGAATTCGGTTGTCTTTAGTGGCGAATCTCGATTCACTTTGAGATTTGCCGATGGTCCGAGTGTACCGCAGACGAGGTGAACGTTACGCTCAAGTATGCGTCAGAGAAGTTGACCGATTTGGTGGCGGCAGCGTCATGATTTGGGGTTCTTTTTGTGCACATGGACGTTCTCCTCTTGTTGTTGTCCAAGGGAACTTAAATGCTGTCCAGTACAGGGATCAGATTTTGCAACCTGTTCTTCTTCCGTTTATGCAGAGACATGGGCCTGGACTAACGTTTCAACAAGACAATGCTCGACCCCATACAGCAATTGCTACCCAGAATTTTTCAAGAAATGCCGGTGTCCTGGATTGGTCGTCGCTTAGCCCCGACCTTAATCCTATTGAACACATCTGGGACGAACTGGGTCGACGTGTTCGTCAGCAAGTGAATCCACCACTGACGTTGCAGGACCTTCAACATGCTCTTGCTGAGCAGTGGCGACGTCTTCCTCGGGTAGTGTTTACTAATGTTCTGAGATCCACGAGAAGACGTTGTGTGGCAGTACGAGACGCTAGAGGAGGCCACAACTGTTACTAAACACTTTATTCCGATTGTTCTCCAAGTCTGTGAATTTCATTTTGGGGGGTACTGTGACATCACGAACGTTATCAATGTCAAGGACTTTCGGCGAGACGTATTCTTGCTTTCTGTTGATGTCAAGGTCGTCTGTGCACAACATAACACTAAAATAGTTGCCTTTAACCAAATATTAAAAATCTAGTCCCAAAAATCCCGAGTGTCAAGTTTTTAATTTGGCTGAGTATATTGTGATACATTGTATGATTCGCTGCCACAGTCTGATATTATTGGGCGTCCCTTGGGTAATTTATTGGGTATAAACCATTCCGTTTCTGGATTTTTATGTATTTGTGGTAGCGTATAGAGATGTCGTTGTCGACAGTCAGATTTGGCGGAAAGATAATCATATTGTTTTGCTGTTATGTATTCCTTGTCTTGCAATTCATGTAAGATGTTGTTTATTAAAGTTGCGGTGGCCTTAAAGATGGGTTGGTCTAATTTAGTGTAATGTATAGGATAACTTAATTGTTTTTCTTCCTCTGAGATATAGTCTGCGCGATTCATTATGACACAACACGAACCTTTGTCGCTTTTCTTAATAATTATGTTTTTGTCTTTTTTGAGGGTGTTTAATGCTGTTTTAGTTGCTCGGTTGAGATTTGGTTTTTTGTGATTGTGGTAGAAGGGATGATATTTCTGTGTTCATTTCATCGAAAGTGCAGTGGAGATCAATTGGTTGTAGCTGGTGATGTTTTGGTAGGCGATTGGATTTTCTTGTCGGAGTCGGGAAGAAGTGGGGATCTGTGTGGTGAAGAGCTTGTTTGTTGGGAAAGCTGTTCTGGTCACCTTGAGTAGATCTAGCATCTGCTCGTGTATCCTTGGTCCACTTTCCTCCCTCCTGTTGTTGAGCCCGACATGTATCACTAATTCTTCTGGTGCAGGTCCCATGTAGTTCTGGAGGATCTGTTTGATGTGGCTGATCTTGGCTCCAGAATAGCTATGGATCTCCCAGTCCCCGAGGAAGGATACAATCCTAGCCAGGTTAGAGGATCCAATAACCAGGGTCTTTGCCTTGACTGCTGGTAGGTACCACAAATCCTTCTCGTCTTTACCTTTGTAGCTGTGGGGTCTTTTTAGTGATAGGTTGAGTGAACGTCTACATCTGGTGGAAGATCTGGTGTTGATTCTAGGGTTAGGAATGATGGGCGATCTAGGGGACAGACAGTTGACAAGCGCGTTCAGTGGCGATATAGATCCCGAGGAAGTAGGTGAGCCAGACACAACCCGGGGCGAACTGGTTGATCTAGCTGCACGCTTCGAGGGAGTTTTAATGCATGCGCCTTCTCCAGAGGGTAATTTTCTCTTGTTGGGTGTGCTTCGTTTTGGTGTGTCCCGGAGAAGGTTGTGTGTAATGTGCATTGGTGATGGGTGAGGGTGCGTGACAGTTTAAGAGACCGTGTATAGTAGGCGATGGAACTCTGTCTTCACACTATCCTGAAGTCGCTTGCCGTAGGACTTCTTGGCCCATGATCTTGGCTCCAGAATAGCTATGGATCTCCCAGTCCCCGAGGAAGGATACAATCCTAGTCAGGTTAGAGGATCCAATAACCAGGGTCTTTGCCTTGACTGCTGGTAGGTACCACAAGTCCTTCTTGCCTTTACCTTTGTAGCTGTGGGGTCTCTTTGTTGATAGTTTGAGTGAACGTCTACATCTGGTGGTGATTCTAGGGTTAGGAATGATGAGCGACCTAGGGGACAGACAGTTGACAAGCGCGTTCAGTGGCGATATAGATCCCGAGGATGTAGGTGAGGCAGACACAACCCGGGGCGAACTGGTTGATCTAGCTGCACGCTTCGAGGGAGTGTTAATGCATGTGCCTTCTCCAGGGGATAATGTTCTCTTATTGGGTGTGTTTCGTTTTGGTGTGTCCCGGAGAAGGTTGTGTGTAATGTGCATTGGTGATGGGGGAGGGTGCGTGACAGTTTTAGAGACCGTGGATAGTAGGCGATGGAACTCTGTCTTCACACTATCCTGACGTCGCTTGCCGTAGGACTTCTTGGCCCATGCTAGGGCGTGGCTAGAGTACTCTTGTACAGCATCTTTGGTAAAGTGACGTGACTTCAAAGTACTCCAGTTTCTCCGCTAGCATGGCTCGGTATAGTGTGTAGACAGGTGTGAGGCGACGTCCTTGGCCCATTTCAAGTTCAATGTCTCAATGGTAGTGGCTATGGTAGGCGTCTTAATGGTTGGCTTCACGAACTTATTCAGGTCTTGGATCTTCCAAGTGAAACTTCTGGTTGATGTTCCATTCTCCTGACTCTCCATAATGGTCAAGTGGTGGAGGCATTTGAGGAACTGAAAGAAGGCTTTCACGACACCTGCATTCTCTGGAGGTGGTTGGTGCTGGTTTGGTTTACATCTTGTTACTATGACGAAAAATTGAGCTGGCTTTTAATTTAGAGCTAACCCAAATCTTCCAGATCCTAGTGTAGTACAGACAAATTAAACGAAGTTTTGAACTATATAAAACGAAACGAAATATGATCTGTGTTTTAATCAGATTGTCTGTACCCTTATATTATTGAATATAAAAAACCCCCACAATAAACCGAACGGTTGGATTAATTAGGAGATAAACACTTCCTGTTACGTATTTAGAGGGGGTTTATTGTCCATTTAACCATGCTTGAATCATTAGAACACGAGACGCATAGCGTCGAGTTGTTCTAATGGATAATTCAAGCATGGTTAAATGGACAATAAACACCCGATAAATACGTAACAGGAATGTGTTTATCGATATTGTAGCACAAATATTTGGAGATTTTCTTCGGAACTATTTAGAAAACATTTTTACACCCATTTTAAAAAGTCGTTATTTGGTCACGCGCTTGCGTTCATTTTTCAAAATATTTTCAATAGACGGTCTCTTGCTTACCTGCAAATCTAAAATTTTTGAGTCTCGAGTTGCTGGTAAATGAATTATGAAAGAAAATGTTATTCGGATATCGAAAACAAAAAAATATTTTTAACGTTTGAAGATCTTTAAATATAAAACAAACTTCAATTAGTAATGTCTTTATGTATATTCTACAGGCCTACTGAACGCGGAACTGAATTTGCTAAATATACTGAACGCGGAACTGAATTTTCGCTAAATATACTTCAAGGCGATCTTTGCATTTTGTGTGGTAAGTCAATCTATTTATAAAGAGGAGATATCGAATTTACACAAGCACGTGACTGACAGAAGGGGAATGAAATCACGGCTAAAAGTAATTTTAATTAATAGGAGTAGCATAAGCATATGGGGAGGGGCTGGGGGGCTGCAGATACCCCCGCCCACACCCCGGAGTCGGGCAAACCTTTTTTTTGGGCGATTATCAAACTTGTGGGGCACTGGCTAAATGATGAAGTAAGTAAAATTTTAGTGTAGTGGATATAAAAGTAAAAATGTTAAAATTATCCCATCCAACAAAATGAAGTTCCCGAAATCCGGTACTTTTACTGACCATAAATGTGGGATGATGCAATTCCCAACCGTAGTTCAGAGATTCAGAGAATTACACAATTCTGATTTTGATTCAGTGCCTCTAGTGGTTCCAGAAATTTCGATCCGCTAAGCGCTACTAACCGTTATTTTTCGACATTTTACTTATGCCGCCGTATTTTTCGTCCAAAAATGTAAGTGTTGTAATATTGGATATAGTTTTAAAGTATTATATCTTATATTCTGTCTTTGTCACTATAACATGATTTAAATAGAAAAACAAACAGTTTATTTTGTAACACTTATGTTATTATCTTTTTTTTTATTTTACTTATTACTAGGCTCCAAGAGATAACCAGATGATAAAATGCAAACCATAGCTTGATATACACGTACTAATAAAATCATGGACATTTAGCACAGTTTTATTGTACTTCAACCGGGTTGGGCTAATTATGTTGCATACGGGGCTAGTTTACCAAATTGGAAAGCGGACCATGATAACGGTGTGCAACCTTTTCACCAAGAATTAACTAAAATATATCTAGCACAGCTCCTGCAACCCTCGTATTAAGATAGCTCTATTTTAATACATTGAATAAATCATTTTACAAGACACTAGAAATGATAAACGAGTAACAAACCATTAAATTACCACAAATAATTAAAATTTGATATTGAAGGCCACACTTGAAAAATCCTGATGTTTCTACTCTACCCATGTTAAGGTTCGAACAATACTCTCGATAACAATGTCTTGAGCTAGAACATATTGGGTTGGAATACTAGGCCAACTCAACTACCATAGCACCTTACACTGGTTTGGCAAAAATAACCCGAAATTTCAAAATAGAGCAAATTGTATTTGGTGATAATGTTCAAAGTCAATGGATGCAATCTGAAATCTTTTCATCTGAAGTTTTCCCCATTGGTAGTCTTTGTACATAAAGGCTCATCAAATTCAGCAATACATTTATTCAAATAGCAGTTTAAAGGGGTTTTAGGGACAGCTATAATCATCATTTTTAAAACTTTCATTAAAAATGTGATCTGTATTGTAGTTTAATCCCATATTGGAATTACATGGAAAACCAGAATCGGTTAAGAAATCAAACCATTCAATCTATCATTAAACATTGTATTTATGTTGGTAAGTCCCAATGACATCACTAATTTCATGTAAAATGAAGTTTAACATCCTACTGTTCTAACCAACTGGGCTAAGGATGACTGGCACATGTCATGCAGGGTGCCAAGCGAGTGATCAGGACAACAACCTTTCCGACTACCTTTAGTCAAATCCATAAGAATGACAAGATAATGTGCCTTGCCAGACCCTCCGTCCTGCAGCACTGACAAGGAGAAACCACACTGAACAACCCCTGAGAAACTTTTTGGGTCAACAACGCTACCTCCTGTTTAGTGTACCAGTGCCTTACTCATTGAACCAACAGGGCTCCAACCGTTTCTTCATACGTTGAAGAAACCAAAAATGAAATAAAATGGGGTTTAAAGTCCTACACCTACTGGGCCAATGAAGAGAGGCATATGCTGTGCAGTGTGTTATACTAAGGCCTACTCTTATTTCAAATTATGTCATGGTTTCTTTTACATGCATGCCAGTGATTACACACAGGAACTTGTTTTTCCATCCCATCCAAACCAACTATAAGTTGTCCCTTGCCAGACCCACCGTCTTACATCATTGACAAAGGGGAGCCAATGTCCTACTCACTTAGCCACTGTGGCTCCCATAAATATATCTCATAGTGCAGTGAACGTAATGGTCAGTACAATATCCTAGGTACATGTAACAGTAAAGGTGGCGTCTCCCTACAGTCCATCACTTAGGTAAAACAAACAATACATGGACTAAATAAACAATTTATTCATCTTTAATTCTATTGAAATAAATTACATCAACATCTCACTCAGGTAACCATTTCACTAATGTGATATATAAAGCACTATCAAATTATTTTGGTCCCACATTCTAAAACCATAAAACTGGAATTGTGTATCACAAATCATTGCATCATGTTCAAGCCCCAGGGTCAAAGCATTATTTATTAAAACCAGGTGTTACTCTTGTAATTAATATTCAAAAGAATTTGATGTTATTATTTTCTTTTTGAAATATGCTTAAGGCTACCTGTATTATTTCCTTAGTGACATAGTCCATTTTAAAATATCTGTATTAAACATACATTATGCAAAAGCTAAATCTGCCAATTGCAGCTCTTTCTTTAGGCCTGAAAATCGCTAGCCTGCAATATTTACTGGATTATGATCCCATTTGCTGCTCGAGTTAATTTAATCATGAAATGGATGATCGAGACTATGTTTTTTATTGTACAGACTTTAGTAATGATGATCGAGGCTAGGCTGAAATTTCAATCGCTCTATTATCGGTTTATAGTGGATCAATTTGACTGAAATCTCCGCAAATTGCCTTTACATTATCTAGTTTTTAACTATTATAGTGAGAACTGCCAGCTCTTTATCTTATCTCCCATAATGTATCTTTAATGTAAAATTGGTACTAATATTTTCTTTTTGAAATGGTGACATGTGCCCATTTTAAAATATTTATGTTAATGCAAAATGCTCTATTATTCAGACCCTAGGCCATGACATGTTGGGATCATATCCAGTCCTTTTCAATATATTCTAATTAATATTAGATTACAATTTTGTATGGTTTCCTGGTTTTTTACTCTACATTGTAATTTAACCAAATTTCTGCCAATGACAGTTCTACATATATCAACCAGTCATATTATAGCGTAAGCCCATCAGATTCACTTTTACATACATTGGTTTTAAAGTTCAAATGAAATGAAATGGGGTTTAACATCCTAATGTTCTAATAAAGACGGGCATATGCCATGCAGTGTGCTAAAAGGCCTACTCTTGATTTGAATTCAAATTGTCAGGGGTTCTTTTATGTCCCCGGACCTTGTTTTTTTTTTTGTCCCATCCAAACGACTATACATTGTCCCAACCAACACAGGCACTGAACACGGGTCCTCCCGGTTAGCGAGCCAACGTCCTACCCACAGAGCCACCAGGCGGTATATCAATACAGACAATTTTATCGGTCAATAAGTTTGCATTACCTCACTGAAACTGTCTTCAAAGAAAATGTGTTAGATGTCAATGCAGTAGGCCTACAACCTGATAAAATAACGAAATGATATGTAACTATATATAGCTAACATCTAATTGGTACTTTATTAGCCACAGATGACAGTAGGCTTCATAATGCATTCAAATTGTACATAATTTATTTCATTTTGGTCTGATTTGCTTAAGGATATTTAGATCAGATGGTTACATATACTGTTATTTCATTATAAAGAAATTCGTCAAATAACACATGCTGTGATATGCAATGAAACCAGTGAAGTTACATGTAAAATCCAGGCAAGGAAAACTCCAAACTGATCAGCAGTGAATATTCGCTAGGCCGCTACAATCACTGAGATGGTTAACATCGGTGTGAGTTAATTAGCTCACATTCACAATATATTAACCTTTTCCTTCTGCAAATTAAATTCTAAAACATTTTTTTAAAGTATTAGAAAAATAAATAAAGGTGTTTGAAGAATACCTCGATAAAAAATATTTCCTATTTAGTGTAAATGGGTACATAAATAATACATGGAGACGTAAAACGAGTAAAAGGCACCATTCTGCCTGGATCAGTTTACGTTATTAAATCCTATGTAAACAATGCACACACTATCGAAACAAATGATTGACACCATGTTATGTGACGTCACACTGATAAAGGTCAGTCATCTTACACAAAGTTAGAAGGGTTTTGCATTACTTATGTGAAACAGATTGGGAACATTCCACACACAAACTGTGTCATTCTGGACCAAATTCAATTGTGAACAACAATTTCAGATAAAACATGTTTTGAACAGATATGTAAAACTTTCTAGATGTTCATTTTTTAAAATGGTCAAGTGCGATATTAACCTGAACAGCATTAGTTGACTTGTTTTATTCGGATGGGCTATATCTATAGAACTTTCAGCTGGGTAAATATTATCAAACCATTGAATGTGATCTAATTAAGCAATAAATGAGATATTAAATCTCTGACGTCACTACATGTATGTTATTATGATGTCATTATTTCCAAGAAAAGTTGTTTTGATTTGTTAAAATAAGAAACCTCTAAACTCAGGTACATGTAATAAGTGCAGGAAACCAACAAGACAAACCCATGGACAGAAACACAACACACACATTGCAAGCAACAAACAACACAAGTAGCCTTCTATCTAATCAAGCTAATGGATCTGGGAACTGGCCATATGCATCTACTGTGCTGTACAGTTCCAGACGTGTAGTCTATTGATACAGGTGCCTCTCAGAATGAAAACAAACTTTCAACAAGGGGGACAGCCCATGGAAAAAGGAATATTTCCTGAACATTATATTATTCTAGTGAAAGATATTTCAATGTCAGCACACATAAAGATAATGATTTATAACGATACAGTTTATGCAAAAAAGCCAAGTCCAAAAACAAAGAATACATATTGCAATAAATAAAGATGGCTAAATACAATGCAGGGCATCAATGCCACATTTAACCCATATTTTTAAAATCACATTGTCACAGTTCTATTCACCCATTCTAATGCATTTAGATGCCTAAAAATATACATGTATAATGAAGAAGTGTAGTCTTATAAGGAATAAAAAGGATATTTTTTTTTTTAAATTGTCTCCTTTCATTTAATGAAAGTTAACACAAAAATGAACAGAAATTTAACCATACTGTGCAAACTTTATGTAAACTCATCACATCACAAGATTCAGTTTTTTTTACTTGTACATATTCATCATCGATTAATGTCAGTCCACGACCATTTGTGAATATTGTAAGCTACGGTACATCCTTACATGCAGATCATGATCAGTGGACTGCTTAGAATAAAATGAGCAAATTTCGATGCTGATTTAACTATGGAAACCACCACTGACCATTAGCACCTGTATATAATATGTCCTCTTGAAATAAATCCAGAGAATAAATAAACCTAACCACAAAAACATGCCATTATTCATCCCATATTTATGATTTACTGATATTGTTTTATATCTTCAAATGTTTTATTGGTATTTTGTGATGTCCTTGTTCTCATAATACAAAAAAAAGGACAAGAATAACAACTAATATTATAATCAACACCACAATCGCCATCCATTGTCTTTTATCATTGGACATGTGTAAAACTTTAGCCATTTTTTTCATTGTACTGTCAAGTCTAGAATCTGTTGTCTCAATCTCATGACGGAAATCACTAAGCATAACATTTTGTTCATCTAACTCTCCACCAATCTGACGACTCATATTCTTTAGTACACCGACGCTGCCACCAATTAGTTCTAATTGGTCATCTTGCGATCTCATTATTAGCGACTGTTGTTGTTGGCTGTCATCAATAAAATTTTGATTTGATCGTTCCATTTCATTATCCAATCTTGTGTAGCGGTCCATTGGTCCATTTTGTTTGTCTGCATGAAGTAAAGCCTGTCTGACATTATCTTCCTTACTGTAATTATAATTAGTTGCTTTTGTTGGACTAGCCAGGGCTCCTTTCATTTCTTTCACAGTTGCCTTCGTCCTCTCAATAAAATTTCTTCTTTCACGTATTTCATTTTCTGTGATCTTAAATTTCCGTGGATTTTTTTCAACTATGCCTACAGTCTCTTCCAAATCTTCTAAATCCCATTCGATACTTCTCAAACTGTTTCGCAGTTCACTTGAAGTCCAATCTGTTTCCTCTTTGGAAACCAAATTAGATTGATCCTGCAGTTCGTTCCACCGTGTATACAGTCCATGGGCAGTGTGCAAAGTTTTCTGAACCTCCTCCTTCACTACGAAAAAGGGGTCTTCTAAAGACATGTCTAATGTTGTTTGTGTTGCAAGGACTAAACTGGGCAACTGAAGGAAGCGGAACTGTCACAAACCCAACAAAACGTAAACAAAGTCGATCGCACGGAAGTATTATTATTTACGTGTTTAATTAATATATTGCATCCGTAGAGGTAATCAGGATTTAAATTAATAATTTATGTAGCAGACTTTCTTGACCGTTTGTCTTCTAATGAATTGTTTCATTCGATTTGGAGTTTACTCCAGCTCATTCTTTCTTGTGACTTTGTTAGCCGCCATCTTAAATAAATTAAAGAGATGCTTTGTCAATCGGCAATCTTCGGTTTAACACAGAGTTAGGAAATCGCCTAGGTGCCCATTTACTAGATAATCGTATTCAAACCGAGAACAGCTATAGTACTAAACCAAGGTTTTAAAATCATATAACAGTATTGTGGTACATAGTGTCGAATACTGTAGATCATAGCACCGATAGTTGAGGGGGTAATTACGGCTTGGCGTGAGCCAAATATAAAAGCTGTCAACTTCTAACAACCACGAATAACAGCATAACAAAGTCTGGTTAAACAAGACTATATTTTGTTATATGTGTGATTTTGACGACGATCCACACATCCCGAGTAACTAACAATTAGGTTATTGCTTTTGTCACGCTACGCAATTTTACGAAGGGATAGCAATCTTCGCCCTCACATGTATCCACCTGCGCGCACGTATAGTATTCTTTGCACTGTCATTGAGTAAACTGGCGTGGTTTCGATTCCCCGGTTGTACGTGACAAGGAGTAGGGTCGCCTGTCCAAACTCGTGGGTTTTCTCCGGGTCCTCTGGTTTCTCCTCCCACTGCTAAAGACCCCTACGCGCAAGCGAATAACTGAAATAAAATAAATTGATCCATGGCGTTAGTACCGAAATCGATATGACCTAGTTTGTGTCGAGTGGACGTTACCCCCCCCCCCCCTCTCTCTCTCTCTCGCTGAATAAAGTTTGAACATTTAGTTTCTATATTGCATTATCGAATTATATTACCGTAAATATACTAACTTCCAAATTAGCTTTGGTGGTTCGAAGATGTTTATATCATCAAATCGACAGATGAATAAGGTATTTGATGACTGATCGGGGACAATCGATCGGTTTTATAGTATCATCGTGTAGTAAAGCATACATAAAAGCGTCAAATGCGTAGACGGACAACTCGTTCACTAATTGGTTTGGATATGTTTGGTCAAACTCCAGAGAATAAGCAAAACATATGACAGATTTGACATTAGTTTTCCGAAAATTATAACATGCGAATAAGAATAATGTTAAATAATTGTTTGACAGTGGCCCTTTAAAGTTGGGTTCAGAGATGAAAATTTTCGATGTTTAACCAATGTAATACTTTGGTTCTTACGACCATATTGTATCTTTAACTAATTATTGGTTAACACTTTCTCTAGAGTCAAATCCCACGTACTAATGAAAGCGGATGACATGTTTATATATATATATACAAAAACGGTGATATTTTGGTGAAATCCTTACCATTGTCAAAATATCCATCAAATTCGATCTGTTTATGGCATGTGGTTGGTAGACCTAATAAGGTAATGTACCCCCCCCCCCCCACCGCCTGGTCTTGGAAGAATGGGAATGTTTATTCTATATTTGGGAAGGAAATTAACGCCAAGGTCAGTCTATAACGTACAGAAATAAGGGGGTTATAAAAGAAGGTGTTGAGCGAAATTGATCAGAGCTCACCCTGATATTCCTAGCAGCTATCATCTATGCTTTATTGAGAACGGGGAACATAGAAGCCTTGCAAGCAGTTTAATAATAAAGCTGTAGAAATGAACTGACCTGTAGTTTTATTTACGATCACAAAGGAAACACAACAAGGAAGTCCGATATTACTACACCATCTGTTACTTGGCCCAGGGGCTAAGACCCAGAGATTCCCGGTTATGGGTGACAGTTGGCCTTATGCCAGACGTCGCATTTCTTCCAAAATTAGTCCATTTACGCATGTTAATAGCAGAAACGAATGCTGCTGCAGAGAAGAGTGTATGCACATTATGTTCGGTTGATAAAGAAGAAAAATGTGTTATAATTACGGGGAAGCCACTGTTGCTAAGTGGTTCAGACACTGGCTCGCTAGCCTGGAAGTCGCGTGTTCCATCCCTGCATTGATCGAGAAAGGACAGCTGTCTAGTCTTTCGGCTGGGACGAAAACCCGAGGTCTCGTGTATACATTTGCGTGCACGTAAAAGATCCCTTGGCAGTTGAAATTCGATATAAGAGTAGGCCATAGTGCCGCTGTCGGTGAAAAATGTCCTCATAGCACACTGTATGGCGTATGCCCGTCTTCGTTAGCCCAGTCGTAGCAGAACAGTAGGACGTTAAACCCCATTTCATTTTCGTTACAATTACGGAGAAGGAAGCTAAAAGTGGAAGATGGAAGTCTGACACATTTCTGATCCAAAGTCCAGAGCTTTGGAAACCATCTTGCAGAAACTTTTATCATTCCTAACTCGTTGGCGATAATGTGCTCAACCGTCTCACAACACTGGCAATATGTCGAGTGGTCAATCGTCGATCAGCCATCACCATGACATAGATTCAAATGGATTAGAACACGCGCGAGATTTAAAAATTTAACGATAAAATTGGATAATAGAGACTTTGTCTAGAATCTCAAGTACCGTTGTTACGACAGTGAACAATCTACGCAATATTTAGTCAAACCTTGAAACGCTAATAATTAAGTAATCTAAATGGAATTTCAAATATATTCACAATTTTATAATTGAGCACGGTTGATAAGCACCGGGATGGATTCAGTCGGATTGAAATGATGACCCTCAACAGATTTATAGGTGGCACTGGTTTGTTTATACTGTCAGAAGATAGTGCCGAATATTTCATCATATATAAGCAAGCACTGAACATAAGCTAACCATTGTTAGGCTGATATTCTTATTCGAGATTTTTACAATATTGTAGTTTGTAAAGACTCAAAATCCCTCAAATAATATTTAGATAACAGTTAATTAAACTTTACCCCAAACATTAGTTAATATAGTTATCTGTGTTACTTACTTCTCTGGCACTTCTAAGTGCTACTATTCCAATTGGCCAAATACAACACGCAGTAGCGAATACTGCCAGCAGGAAATAATCTGGTGGTGCTATTGTAATATGTTGGGCGGTAGGCTGTGTAACCTGAAAGACAAACAGGGTTTAACAGCTTTTCACCAATTTAAAAATAAATTAAGATTTGACAATATACATGTAGTAGTACACTGGGGATGCTCAAATTATATTGTGTGCAAACCTACCAAACCATCATGCAAGAAGTTTTGACAAACGTTTGCAACAATTTCCGTAGTTGTTCAGTGCTTAGATTATCGATAATTAGTTTTCGTCTAAGGTTATTATGAATTTGATATTCAGAATAATTTACATTTTTATATTTATTTTTTTTAACTGAGAGTGTAGAGCGGGAGCCCAGGGGGTTAACCTAGATAAAAAAAAGTGTACCAATTGTCTCCTATATGGTATCAATGTATGTATATCTGGTATCATCATAATGTAAGTCTGCCAGGTTCCTTGTGGTGGGTGTGGTATTCCACGCCCAAAATGCCATGCCCCTCCCCCACTAGTCTAGATTAGCTCAAAATTGTACCACATGAAAATCGCAAACCAATGTACCGTACATCTTCAGGTATTACAAAAACACCCTGACAGACATTTCTAGTGGTGAGGTACCCCTGACAGAGCTATGTAATTGCCAGACATTTGTAGTGATGGAATATCCCTGACAAGAGTTACCTAATTTCCAGACCAAAGCTAGGCGAGATTAGCTCAAATCTGTACCACCTAAAACAGCTTTGGAGTTGTTCAGTACCACTACAGGAATCATGAATGACCACTGCCAGACAGTTTGTGCGGTGGGTTGCCCCTAACAGACACGCCCAAAATAACACGACCCCCGACTAGGATAGATTAGTCGGCACTGTTCCTGTGGTCCAAAAAATTAAAAATTGTGCCAGGATGCGTAGAATACTAATACCTAGCACATATGGAAGAGGCGATAAACTGCGGTTGTAGGAACAATTTTATTTTTCAAAAACGCATTTTTAGCCCCATAAAATGTTTTTGTCCAAAAATCAATTTCTTGCAATCGCAGTTTATCGCCTCTTCCATACGTGCTAGGTATTAGTATCCGACGCATCCTGGCTAAAAATCTAATTTTTTAGAACACGGAAACAGTGCCTGCGAAGCTAGCCTAGTTGGGGGCGTGACACTTTTGGGCGTGTCAGTTAGGGGTAACCCACCGCACAAACTGTCTGGCAGTGGCCATTTATGACTCCTGTGGCGGTACCGGACAACTCCAAAGCTGTTTTAGGTGGTACAGATTTCAGCTAATCTAGCCTAGCTTTGGTCTAAATATTAAATAACTCTTGTCAGGGATACTCCACCACTACAAATGTCTGGCAATTACATAGCTTTGTCAGGGGTACCCCACCACTAGAAATGTCTGTCAGAGTGTTTTTGTAATACCCGAAGATTTACGGTACACTGCTGTACGATTTTCATTTGGTACACTTTTGAGCTAATTTAGCCCAGTTGGGGGTCATGGCATTTAGGGCGTGGAATACCACACCCACCACCTGAAACCCGACAGATTTATATGTACGTTAAATACCACTGTTTTAAGGTCAGTGTTTTAGTCTGAGTGATATTTATGTACGTTACGAGGGCTGGTTGAAAAGTTCTAAGTCTGAAAATAATATATCAATTAGGTTGAAACAAACGTTTGTCAGCAACAAGTCAATTCATTGAATGAATCATAGACATAAAATCTGCAACTGTAGTATTATTATTGTCTTCGTACCAGACCATCTTGTGAAAATACCCTTGCAATCACAGAAATGGACAAAAGTGGCTAAAGGGCAATCATCAATAGAAGTACCTGTAGCTGAAAGGACTAATCCCAACACAGATATATGCCGACATGGTCTCCACTTTAGGGGATGATGCCTCTTCCTTTTCCACGGTATAGAAGTGGGCTGCGGAATTTAAGTGTGGCAGAAAGAGCCTTGGCGATGATTCGCGACCTGCAAGGCCATCAACAGCCACCATTCAAGAAAACAGAAATGAAATGAAATGGGGTTTAACGGCCTATTGTTCTGCTCCTAAACTGGGCTAATGAAGACGGGCATACGCCATAAAGTATGCTATGAAGGAAATTTGCCCGGGCAGCGGCGCTACTGCCTACTCTTATATCGAATTCCAACTGCCAAGGGATCTTTTACGTGCACGCCAATATGTACACGAGACCTCGTATTTTGGTCCCATCCGAACGACTAGACAGCCCTCCTTCCTGCATCACTGACAAGGGGAAACTACGCCGGAAAATGTGGATGAACTTTCTCGGCCAATGTAGGGATCGAACACCCGACCTCCAGGCTAGCGAGCCAGCGTCTTACCCACTTAGCCACGCGATCCCCTCAAGGAAAAAGTACCTGGGTGCATGAT